CTACTAAAGTGTTTTAAATAAGGGGGGGGGATCCTATCTGTGACCACAGTATGGAGGGCCCAGGCTGGGGAGGAGAACGGCATGGAGGGAGGCAGTGGCCCATCTGTCAGAGGGCAAGCGGGGTGAGGGAAGGAGGGAGTGCCCAGGGTGGGTCCTCATCTGGGGGCTGGAGGAGAGCGTGGGACCCATGTGGGGAATCAGACCGAGCCCAGGGAGGGAGCTCCAAGAGACAACAGGTAACTGTGAGAGGGGTCCTTGCAAAGGTGGGGGGGGCTCCGGACGAGCCCTGGTGCCGCCATCCGAGTCACACGTGGTGAAGACACTCTTGGAGGGTAAGTGCTTGGGCAGCACTGCCCTGGGGACTTGGTGTCCATGGGCTGTTCAGCTGAGGCTTAGGGACTAGAACCCCAAAATCCTGTCCTGCTGTTTGCACGTGTCCAGACTGTGGCTACCCGGGTCAGTGAGGGTGTCTGAATCAGACCGCACAGAAGCTTAAGTCAAGAGGACAAAAGCAGCCCTATTTCTGGACGTTCAAGACCAAGGTATTCAAAGGCTGCAAGAAGTAGCCAGCAGACTGTGAAACCCCAGAATTTTTGCTTCAGAAAGGTCAGGAAAGGCCCACTCAAGACCTGATGTTGCTATCTCAAGAAAGGGAATGGGAAGGCAGGTGTGGCCCTCTTCCTTTAGAGCCAGTTCCTTCTAGACGCGGGGACCACAGGCCGGAGAGGAGACCCGTCTCCTGCCAGTGGAAGGGCAGGGCGGCAGGCCATTTGATAACACAAGCACCTTCTCCGAATTGCCTTTCCCCTTAGCTCTAGGTGCCCAGACTCTGTACATGAACTTCCTGGGCATTTCCTATAAACCTCTTACCTTGCCTCTAGCAGTCTCAGATATGGCCCTGTGCGCACGTGCTTTGGCTTAGTGTTTCCTGAAGGCCTGTTTTCTGTTGTTCCTTGTCTGCGCTCGGACGGCTCTTCACCTGGGAGAGAGCGGAGGCTGTCCTCGGCGGCGATGGGGCCCCGCGGCTGTGTGACCTGGGCTAGTGTCTTCACGTCTCTCTCTGCCTCAGCCTTCTCATCGGTACAGTGAAGAAAATAGTAGCGTCTACCTCATGGTTGTTTTGGGGTATAAATAAGTTAATCTACGTGACGCGGTGAGAACAGTGCCTGACACAGAGCCAGTAGGAGAAACGAAAAGTACAGCGAATCTTCTTTCTCTTAAAGGCACATCCAGGAATCCATGTTTAATCACTTACAAAGCATTGTTTTTCGTAGAAAAATCTCGCCTGCCAGCTTCCTTCATGCGTCCGCAGTTGGGTTTAATAGGCAGCTGGAGGCTGGGATTGTGAGCCTCTGACCAGGAGTCGGGAGCTAGCTCCCCCGTGTCCCTTAGCCAACAGGAGATCGTTCGGTTTATCTTCCCCCAAGTGACCTGGCTGGGTGTTCTTTTCTTGTGGGCCCCACTGTAGGTTTCCGGAAGAAGTTGACTGCCCGAAAGGAAACTGCAAAACATGAAAGTCGCTTTGAGGTGACCGATAAGCCCCGTGGCCCCTTGCTTCTCCCGCAGTGGATCTGAGCTTTAAGAACTCTAACTTCAGGTAATAAATCACCTCCCCAACCCCCCCACCTGCTGTCATTGGCAGTTCCCATGGGAGTTCTTTTTAGGAAGGGTGCTTTCTCCCGGGAGCCCTGGAACTTGGAATAGTCCACCTCAGGCTGTCATCTGGCTGTTCACAAAGAGACAGTGGGGGCTAGACGTGGCACCCCGCAACTGACCCGCAGCCCGGAGGGTCGCTGAGACCCCGAGGGTAGGACTCTACTCCTCCTTGGTCTCCTTCTCCTACTGTCAGTAATAATGAGGATTATCATGGCAGCCACCGTTGATCTGATTAAACGATTATAACCTGCTTCTCAAGGAATACATTGGAATAACCGGGGAATTCTGAAGATGAAAAGTAGTAAGAGGGAGAAGATTTTGTTCTACCCAATATTAAAATATAAAGCCACAATAGCATAGGACTGGACTGGAAGTAACTAGGTCAAAGGAACGGAATAGGACAATAAACCAATAAAGGTGGCCTTTCAAATGATGGGTAACAGAAGGTCTGGTAAATGGTGTTGGCACAGTTATCTATCCATTGGACGGAAATAAGTTTCCAACCGTAAGTAGTGTATCAAAAATAATTTCCAAATGGATAAAGAGCTAAATAAAGTTACAAAAATATCAATAAAGAGAGCATTTGTATTTTGGGGCTGAGAAAAGGCTTTTTTTTTTTTTTTTTTAATGTCACTTTTAACTGTGCCTACAAATACTGTAAGCAAAGTTAGAAGGCCAAAAGGGGGCTGATATTTATGACATCTATGACATGCAAGAATGAATATTCCTAACATACAAACTTATTCATTCAACATCTATTGAGTTTTTTTTTTAATTTTTTTTAATTTTATTGTTTATTTTTGAGAGAGAGAGAAAGAGAGCTCAATTGGGGGTGGGACAGAGAGAGATAGAGGGAGACACAGAATCGGAAGCAGGCTCCAGGCTCCGAGCTGTCAGCACGGAGCCTGACTCAGGGCTCGAACCCACCAACCATGAGATCATGACCTGAGCTGAAGTCGAACGCTTAACCAACTGAGCCACCCAGGCGCCCCTATTTATTGAGTTTTATGCTAGAGAGTGTTCTAGGCTACTAGGGTGTAAGCTGTGAACTAAACCAAATCATTGCCTTCTGACGCTTCTAGTCTAATGGAAAGGAAGCTAGTAAATAGATTATTGATAAGGATTGTGGGTAAAGATGAAGCAGGGTGGGGCGGTTAGAGGGGATTGGTGCTGCTGTGGACATTCAGGGAAGCTTCGCTGCCAAAGTGACATTTGAGCAGAAATAGAAAAGAGAATGGGGGAAAAGTGGTTGGATTTTGATTTTTTTAAAAAGGTTAGCTGATGGGATTTTCTAATGGATCTGTTGCAGGCTATGAAAGGAAGCAAGGAGTTGGGATGATTTCTAGGTTTGGGGCCTGAGCATTGAGAAGGATGGAAGGACCATTGATGTGAGCATCACGAGGGGGCCTGGCTTGGGGAGGACCAGGGATTTGGTTTGGATACTTGAGTTTGAGGTCTCTGTTGTCTATTCAAAGGGAGACATCCGGGAAACAGTCGTATAACTTTGGAATTCAGGAGATGTCCAGGCTTGGAGGTATATATTTGGGAGTTCTCCTAGCGTGGGTCATATTTAAAGCAATGAAAATACACAGACCTCTTAGGGAGTGGGTATAAACACAGGAAGCGTGAGGACATTCGCAGGACCCCAATGTAGGGGTGAGAGAGGAGGAGGGACCAACAAAAGACCCCATCAGGGGACAGGTGCCCCAGTGAAGTGGAAGGGGACAATGAGAAGGTGGCCTCCCCAAAGCCAAGAGCCAATGAGGAGGGGCAGATCAGCTCCAGCAGGTGTTGGGATGGGGCACTTAAGGAATGTAGGACCAGCCACTGGATTTAGCAACGAGGAAGTCACTGGGGAGCCTAACGGGGGCTGTCTTATTGGAATGATGGGTACAAAAGCCCAATTTGAGTTGGTTTATAGCAAGTACAAGGAAAGGAATTGGAAACTGAGAAATGAGGTAGGGACTAGAAGGGCGTAGAGTTCAACAAATTGTTTGTTTTTTTCCTCAAGAGGAGAGTTGTTGTGTGTTTTTATCCAAAGGAGAGTGATCCAGTAGAGGGGGGAAAGTGGATGGTGCAGGGTCGGAGGCAGGGGGAGACTTCGGGAGTGCTGGTCTTCAGTAGTGAGAGAGGATGGAGTCCCCACCCCTCGGGGGCAGAGGGTCCTAAACAGCAGCTTGTAGGTGGGCCGTAGATGTGCTCCCTTTTCACAGTGAAGTAGAGCAGAAAGTATCAGCTGAGAGTACGGATGGGGACAAAAGAGCAGGTGTGATGTTCCCAGGAGTGGAGCGGGGGATTCCAGGGCCACCGGCAGCACTGGCGTCAGTGGTGAGAGGTCGTGGATTGAAAGTGAGGGCAGCTAGTTCATTGTGTGCTTTCCTTCCAGCAGGTTCAGGTGTCCAGGTGAACATGAGTTAGGAGGCCCGTCCGTACTGAAGAAAATACGGTAGAAAAGCAGGACATGAGTGGGCACAAAGGAAACCAGAGAAATGCCTATAAACATAGGGACACCATCCGTAATCATTTAAAAATGCAAGTAAAAACCAATGGGGATTTGTTCTTTTTCTTCAGATTGACAGGCACTCTTGTTGGGAATATAAATTACTGGAGCTCTGCTGAAGCACGGTGTTCCAGAATGTACCCAGACATCCTATGTGCGGTCCCTTCTGTCATGCTTTTAGACATTTGTCCTAAGAGATCATAGCTCAGCTGCCTGGGGATAGAGCACAAAGATGTTCCCTCCAGCAGTGGCCCCGCAAGTGAAAAGCTGGCCCACTCCTAACCCTGGTGCACTAATCTGTGGCCGTGACCGTCGTCTTGGAAACGGCCTCACAGTCTCCCCTCTTGCTTTGCAGATGAAGCAACTTGAGCCCAGGGAGAGGGAGTGAGCGCCCGGGTCACGTGGTGTGGAGCTCGGCCCGTCCGCGGGCAGTGCGCGGCCCTCTCAACTCGGCTTGGACTTGGAGTCCCTCGCAAGGTACTTGTCAGCCTCTCTTCTGGGCCGGCTGACTCCACGCTTTTGAAATGTGAATTCTCAAGGCGTTTGGCAAAGTTTTCTACAAGGTCTCTAGGTCCTCATGCAGCTTTTCCTTGCAGGGGATGTGGGGTACCACGGACAGCCGGGAAAGACGGGACAGATTTTTGCCTGGCCCGGTGATAGGGAGGGACCATATTTTTCTGGCTCCCAAGAGAGACTTCAAGTCTGAGAAAGGATATTTTCTGCTTTCCCCTCACTTTTTCAAAAGTTGTAACAAAAATAAAAAAGATAACTAGGGAATCCTGTTGGCTTTATGGATTGGAAGAAAATCGAACCGTCAGGGAATAGCAGGTCCCCTCCGAGGTAGGAGCACTGGGCGACAACTCCTAGCGTGTTGGGTTCTGCCGTAGCACGGGAGAAGCCACCCGGTTTCTCTGAGCTTTGTGTCTTCACCAGAACAGTGAGCAGGTGAACCTAAATGCTCGGCCATAACTCGTGAAGTCTGAACGACGCTCTTTCCTTTCTGCCACGTCCCTGTTCCAGCTGGCTGGGTGGCAGCGGTGTTAGTGCAATACACAAGCACCCGGCCCTCCACCAGACCACCCTGGCCCGCCACCGCGTGAGAAGAGCACGTGGCAACAAACGCGCCTTTGTGCCTCCTTGTGCTAGGTCCCGACCTCCAATGGCCGACCAGAGAATGGACATTTCTTCAACAATCAGTGACTTCATGTCCCCGGGCACCACCGACCTCCTCTCCAGCCCCCTGGGCCCCGGCGGCACGGATTGCAACCGCAAGCGGAAAGGCAGCTCCACCGACTACCAGTAAGCCCTTCAGGGTTCATGTTCCTCTGGCCAAACCTGGTGTCCGTTCCCGGAACATCGAGGGGCCATCTACCATTCCTCCCGGAAGAAGGGGTCCTCTTGGTGCAAAGGGATGGAAATGAAAGAGCCAAGTCTAGGTGGCCGCACGATTGGCTTTTTTTTTTTTCTTTCTTTCTCTTCCCCGTGGATTGTCAGCAGGAGGCAGCCTCCAGCACTGCTGAGGCACTTACGAACCCCCTCCTGTCCCCACACTGTTCCACGTCAAGGGAAAAGGAAGAACCTTAAAGCCGAGTTAGGTCTTTTACCCCTTCCTTCGTCATCCTTGGCTCCTTTGAGCAAGCTGGCTAAGCCTATGGATGTAATCTCGGTGATTTCAAAGAGAACTTTGCCGGAGGGCCTCTCTCGGAGGAAGACCTCAGCCGCTTCATTGTGTTTGTAGAAGGAATAAGTACAGGTCCTCTCCCAAAACACTGTAGGAACACTGATACTGTCCTGAAACATTATTTAAATTAGTATGTACCTGTTATATTAAATAGTATTTTTGTTTCTTTTTAGACTTGATGACTTTTCTTTTGAGTAAGTAAATTTGCACACTTCCAGTCGACTCTTCTCTATCTGTACAAACCCCCAGGCAGTAGGGTGCTGCGTAGAACACTCAAAGGCACGTTTTGTTTTGTTGAGGCAACTGCGTGGAATCTCATCCAAATGTCCACTTAAGAGGTTTTCTTTTGTTTAATGAGGGAAAATCTCCAAGGAGGTGTCTCCCCTACAGCAGATGTCCTTTCTGCTGAAGTTCACAGGTCGAATTTGGGGAGCACAGTGGCTGAAGGTCAGATGCCCACTAGGAGGTGCTATGATTAATATGTAAGTGACCCCAGATGATTGAGCAAGCAACCGCCCAGGGGATGGAGAGTGGGTGTGAGTACGGAGAGGGTGTAGTCACTCCCAGCAGGGAGGCCAGGAGACGCTCTCCAGGGACCACTTGACTTAAGGCAAGTGCTGATAGAGTCACTGGTGCCTTCTAAGACTTCTGCTCTCTCAACCTGTGGTTTCCAACCTTGTCCCCACCCGAGACCTCCAGGTTTCCCTCATGCACCCTGTTTGCAAATCTTCGATGATTCATGGAGACCCCATTAGGCATCCATGATCCCTTTCCCTGTAATTTGAATGTGCTAAAGTCTGATCGGTCAGGCGGAGCTCTCTTCACCTGGGATGATCATCTGGGCCTCCATGAGCACACATGAGTCTAGACAAAAAGGGAGGGGGAGTTTTCGTTTTGCTCCGTGGCCTGAATGATTGCTTCTGAGCTTTAGGACTAGCTACAGAAACTCCCTGCCCATGAGGAAATCAAGGGCTCCTGGTTGGACCACTGTTCTAGAATGCCCACAGTGTGATTCAGTGCCCCTGGGAAAGTTGTTTTTGCCCTTGAGACTACGTTGTTTGAAGGGCCACATCCCTCTGTTCTTAATAGGACACAAGAAAAAGAGAAGCTCAGGTGTTCGTCAGTGCCCTCCTGGTAAACTTAGGGGCTGGAAAAGGGTGTGAGCTCACCCCAGGAGGATTTGGAACTCCTTCCTTGGAGGATTTCCATCTGTTTTCTACCGAACCACAAGGTGCCCTGAAACTTGGATCTCTGGAGTCTCTGAAAGGGAGGTAGATCCCTGCTGGTGACCCAGGACCCTCAGCCCCACTCCTGCCCTATATCCCAGCTTCTCGGACCTGGGGGTTCCCCACCTTGCTGAGAACCAGAACATTGGGTAGCAGTGCCTTTGAAAAGCTGCCTGAGGGCTCTGCTCAGTGCTTCTTTGTGGGTACTTTGGTTTCCCCCTCTTCACCTCACCACCACCCCCAAATATATATGTATGCACACGTATATTTGAGGCTTGGTATGTTTTGCAAATGAATGAACTCCCATTTATCCAGAACGATGAGGGGAAGGAGGTAGTATAGTTATTTGGATACTCTGATTAAGAATTTCCATAATGCTGTGTATTCCCGATGTTCAAAATATGTTGTAAAAGATGTTGACATGCAAACTCTTCTGAGACTACACCTAACTTTTGCTTGATACTCTGGAGAAGCGGTCCTTGTGTAGTAGGTTCAAGTTGTCTTTGTTGGACTCTTAAGTCGATAGTCAACACTGGCTATTTGAGCTTTCTGATTACTTAGTTTCTGGATAAATGAGAGCCTTCTATATTGTAAGAAACAGTTTTGTATGTCTTTGTTAACAAATAGTTATGTTCTCTCATTTTTTCAGAGAAAGCATGGACACGGACAAAGATGACCCTCACGGAAGGTACCATGAACCTAGTCATGAACTTCATCCTTTATAGCCATTTTCTTTATATAATTACATGTTGTGTTAGTTGGTGTGGGTTTCACCCATGTCCTCGACTGGGGATAAACTAGGAGCCTCTGAGCCTGGGAGCTCAAGATGGTCTCCACAGCCCCCAGCCCCCCAGAGTGGCTAACAGCCAAGAGCCCTCGTGTGTTGAGAGAGATGAGCAGGATTAAGCAGGGAAATGAATTCAACTGGGAAGAAAACAGAGCTGTATAACTTTGCCATTAGTCTCCCAGGGATTGTGTTTTATCTTTTGTTTTTTCTTCCCCCACCTCCAGGTTAGAATATACAGAGCACCAAGGAAGGATCAAAAATGCAAGGTAGGGGCACCTGGGTGGTTCAGTCGGTTAAGCATCTGGCTCCTGATTTCAGCTCAGGTCACGATCTCCTGGTTTGTGGGTTCAAGCCCCATATCAGTGCAGAGCCTCCTTGGGATTTTGTCTCCTCCTCTCTCTGCCCCTCCCCTGCTTGCTATCTCTCTCTCAAAATAAATAAAAATAAACTTAAAAACCAAAAAGTATTTAAAAACAAAACCCAAAACAAGGTAAGCATGGACCCTCTTTCTCCCTGTAAACTGTCCTGGTTCTGGGCCCTCTGAGGACCGCCGAGGCGGCTCTGTGTCTGGTCCCTGTCCGTCTAAGCATCCTTTAGGAGATGCGGAAGGGGGTGGGGGCCTTGGCTTGATGTGACTGCCTGCCCCTCGCCCTCTCCACACTTCACTCCTGGCTCTCGAAGTGCCTTTCACGTGAAGGGGACTTGGGAAGTAGCAGGAAGTCCATTAAGGCTGAAGCTTTTCCTCCACCGTCTTCAGCGGGTTGCCCCTTGCTGACCGGAGGGCCCTCCCAAAGAGACCGGGCCCAGTGACTCTGCTCTTGGGCCTTGCCCCGCGAAGCAGCCAGTGTTGCACCGCAAGGCCAGGCGTGGGGGCTGCCTGCTCCCTCGAGGAGGTTCTCTAATTCGGTCCTTTGTGCCGTTAGCCATGCTCGCTGACCCCATCCGTGTGGGCCCTCCGCTCTCCTGCAGTAGCCCCGGGGCCATCCGAGGCTGTGTCACGACACAGAATCGGAGCTGCAGAATTGCACTCACCCGAGACTGGTAGCTTTCCCCTCTCAGCCCAGCCTTGGTGGGAGGTCCTGCTTGGTGGCCCCGTTGCTGTGGCAGCGAACTCTGTTTCCACTGCTGATGTGCCGCCACGGGGGACAGTCCCAAACGCCAGGGGTAAGCCAGTCAGGGAAAGCGTGTGTGCCCGTGAATGCGCCCTCCTGCCTCGGCAGGCAGCAACTCCCGGGAGGTGGGAGTGTGACAGCCTTCAGAGGAAGCTCCTGGGACAGATGTGGCATCTGCTGTATCTCGGTGGGGTCATCGTCGGTCCAAAGATGGCAGCGTCCGTTACCTGGTGACTCGGTCAGTGAGTCTCTGACAGGCCGCACGGTGGGGTCTTCACAGACCCCAGCGATCACCCAGGGACCACAGGATGCCCCCAGTGGCTGTGCTGGAGGCTTTGCTCTTTGCACCCCCCACCTCCCTTCGCTTTCCTTCTACACCCGTCTTAAAATCCAACTTGACCGAGACTAAGAGGAAAAGAAATGAGAAATGAGCAGTACAGTTAACTCTGAGAAGACATTTCTTTATGTCTCTGAATATGAGCTAAGCATAAAAAATAGTAATACTGACCTGGCAGTGAAGCCACTTTTCTGGTGACTTCAGTAGAAAAGTCTAGTTCAAAACACTGTACAAATTCTAAAGGTGCCCCAGTCCAGCGAATGTCGAAAGCAGTTCTGACTTATTTTTGTCATCGCTTCCGTGAGGCTCGTTTTCGTTTTATAGAAATCACTTTTCCTGTTGTTGTTCAGGGAAGCTCACAGCCAGATTGAAAAGAGGCGTCGGGACAAAATGAACAGTTTTATTGACGAATTGGCGTCTTTGGTACCTACGTGCAATGCCATGTCCAGGAAATTAGATAAGCTCACTGTGCTAAGGATGGCTGTTCAGCACATGAAAACATTACGAGGTGAGACCCGGGGCTTTATTCTTCATGCCTTTGCCCAGAAACTTTAGCACCCTGGCCTAGGATGTTCCCGAGTCCCCAAGGCACTGTCAGTCGTTGGCCAATGGGTAGCCTTGAGTAACAGGCGTGTAATTTCCAGCAATAGACGTGACGGGTAGAGGCTGTGCTCTGTGCACGTGTCTGCATGTGTACATGATAATCAGGCTACACGCACGTCAAAGAGGGCACTGCTGATGTCCATTTGGCATATGTGTGTGCCTGGACCCCACCCATACAGTGTGACACAGAAAAGTCCGTTTCCTTTTTGAAGAGGAGAATTCATGGCTCCTCTAAAGAGTGAGTCACTGGTTGATGGTTCTTGCTGCGTTTTACTGTCAGGGATGAACACTGATGATATTTTCATGTTCCTGGAATTTTCCCAAGCCAGATAGACTCTTTGTGAGGGAGGCAGAATTTTCCCTCTTCTCTGAATGTAGGGCGGGTGAGAAAACAGGCAGAAATGTGGAAGTGACTTACCCAAACCACAGGAGGAATCTGCGGTGTATCGGGCAACTTCAGCGAATGCTGTTCCTGGCATTTTCCATAGCCAGTCTTGGACCACCGTCCGAGGAAATTTGAAAGCGGGTGCTTAGTCAGACCTGTGACCTGCATGGTAAAAGACTTGAGTCTTTATGTTTCCACAAAGCCACCAGAAATAAGAAGTGGTCGGTTTTGTCTGACTCCTGAGTGTTATTCAGACATGGCCATGTTATGTCCTGTGCTGTGAGAATGGCATCTAAAGCTTCCGATTAGTGAAGATGATAGAGATTCGATTACTAGAAGCTAAGTCTTATTAAAGCGGAAGGAAACGAGTGACAAATGTCGAGTTACCGTAAAGAACAGGGATGCGGCTCCGTATGTGCCTTGTTGGTTGATCTGAAAATCCCAGACCCATCCTGTCTCCCTCCTTCACTACGGTACTTTGAATGGTTACGGATCTTTTCCATTGTATTGCTTCGCTGTTCTAGCCATTCTGCAGATTCCAGGTCCTTCGCTGCTGGCCTTGTTCTGTAAGATGCCAGACTGACGGCCTTTTAAATGTCCCCTTTCCGTGCTAGGGGAGCCAGCGTGGCTCACGGAAGGAGTGCCAAGCTCTGTTGCCTCGCCCTGATGAAGAACTCCCACTAGATGCCTTCTACAATGTATTCACTTAGTCAGGGCCTGGCAGACTGGATGATTTCCCAGGCAGGCTGGGAGCGTGGATTTGAGGGACTGCTAGACAACCCATTTAATGTAGATCCTGGGAGGAGGGGACCCTTCCGGGAGCCTCTGCGGGTTGGTTTCCAGAGCTGCCTTCTCTCGTGGAAAACAGATTTTTACTTCCGTCTGTTAACCTCTTGGCTCCTTGTACAGTGACCAGAGCAAACTCATCAGGTCCCCCGTGGGCAACGGTGGGTTCTGTCTGAAGCCCCCTCTAGCCCCCGTGTCTGTTGAGGAAAAAGAAGATAAGATTGCAGTCCCGGGTGGTAGGGACTTGGCCACATCCGGAAGGTTGGAGGCAGTGACGTGGAACGAGACATCACCTGAGTAGAAAGGGTACCAATTCTTTCTCTTTTTTTTTTTTTTCCCCTCCCTCAGGTGCCACCAATCCATACACAGAAGCGAACTACAAACCAACTTTTCTGTCAGATGATGAATTGAAACACCTCATTCTCAGGGTATGTTGCAGTGAGGCAATGGTTTTATCCACACTTTGACACATTTCTGAGTGAGGTACCCACGTGTGGGAATTTGATGTCTAAACACCTTTGGAGGCCCACTTCGTCTCCGCCTCTGTCTGTCTGTCTGTCTGGACGGTCTTCACATTCCTTCCCTGGGGTCTTTCTCCTCCCCTTCTACCGTTGCTTAGACAAAGCTTGAAGGCCCGGGCTACCTGTGCCTCAGAGGAGGCAGGGTTTTGTTAAAAATGAGTGGTTAAGCATCCCATTCCTGAGTGAAGGTTTTAGAAAGGGGCGGAGACTGATAACAACGGAGAATTTCCCTTCTCACTTAACTGCTAGCACAAAGCTTCCGTGTACATCTTTACAGCAGCATCCCATCAAAGCAACAGGGCTTCCAGAGACTCCTCTGCCCGAGGAGAAGAAGAAATGGGGGAGGTGAGGCTTTCCCCTCTTGACTGAAGCGCTTGCTTCATCTTGCTCGTCTCTGCAGAGAGGCCATTGAGGTGGCGCCGCGCAGCATTAGGTCTGCCTCTGGCGAGAGCGAGATCCACTTGGAAACTGAAGAGAAACAAACTGGATTCGGAAACACGTCCTCTTGCAAACTGTAAAAAGGAAACTAGAAAAATCTCACTGGGAGCGATAGCAGCCTCCAACCCCCCACAGCCAGAGTGGGCCTTGCTTGCTAAGGCCTGACGGCATCTGGGCCCGTTTCTTTGAGCAGGCGTTTGCCAAGCCTTAGGATACAGGCTACTCCGTCGTCACCCTCGTTTCCGGCTCTACGTTGCCTTCCGGTCCTCTGTGCATCTGGTCTGTGTGTTCACTCCAGCGTTCTCTATCCGTCCCCTCCTGATAGGTTGTCTGAATTGGAAAGCTTTCCGCTGCAAGGAACAGAAGACCTAATGAACAAACAGGGTTGTGCTTCTCAAACGTAGCTGGTCCTGCGGTGGGGCCACGAGGGGTTCGCGCAGTGGTTCCACGAGGGCAGACGGATCAGGCTCTTTCTGTCTTCTCGGACAGCCCTGCTGACCCAGCGTACGGCTTGTTTCCTCAGGGGGGCCGCTAGCCAGAAACCAGGGGCAGGGTAGGGTCCAGGCCAGCTGTCCCTCCTATCGAGAAAGGATACGCCTTCCTGAAAGCTTCATCGTAGATGTCAGCTTCTCCAGGAGATGTTACCTGATCACCCCTAGCTTCAGGCCAAGGATTTAGATTTGTCCAGTCTCCGTGGCAGAGGCCAGCAAGAGAGACGGGGGTTAGGAATTGGCCCGCCATCAGCATTTGCCACACACACTTTGCAGAGCCACATTCGTTGGCTAGATTTTCCTTTAGAGGTGGCACAGAACTTCAGCTGTGGTCTGGTTGGCCTGGGGTGGAATGGTTCTGGTGCGTTCTTTGCCAAAGAGCCATCGTAGGAGTGCCGCGCTCTGGGAAGCTGTACTACTGTCCCTCCCCGTCTCGTGTGTAGATTCTTGTTCGGCCAGGTGTTCTCCATCCCGTATAGGTGCACTGAGTTCTTTTGAACTTCTCTTTTATATCTGTCAAAATCTATTTATCGGATGGTCCTACATTGCAGTTTATTGTCCGTGATCCTTTGGAGCCTCTTGTGACTTAATAGATCTGCTAGGCCTGCCTTCTGTGTCTTTCATGCACTAACACAACAGATCCTGTTGAGGCTTTGCTTTATGTGCATGGCACCATTCCAGGTAAATCCAAGTCAGCAGTAAACACATTAGACGGGGGCCAGGGCGTCCCCACAAGTTCGGAGTGGCCCTTTGGCCACCACCCTCAGGGCACGGTTACTCAGACACAGATCTGCCCGCTTCTGTCCATCCTTCTTCATGAAGATGTCCTTCTTCTCAGGGGGGCCTTGCTGAATGAAGACGTAAACCTTGTCTGCAGCATCTCTGCAGAGACCACCGGGGCTGGCTTCACGGGTGCATAACCTACGCGGCCGCATGTGGCCTGGGGCTTGGCCTAGCGCTCTGCTGTTGGCATCTGGAAGGCCCTCGTTTTTGAACAAGCGCCCTTGCGTTTCCAGTCTGGACTGGGCCCCACGAATTAACGTGGCTGGCCCTGATTGCCATACTCCTAATTTGCTGTTTTTAAGGAAAAAAAATTACATATATAGGTACATGTACATATATAGGTACATGAACGCCTATATGTAAAACACGTGAAGTTCATGTTGTATATAACACATCTATATATTTTTCCATATTTATGTATATAATATATATGAATTAGCTCCTTTTGTAATGACAAATGCTTAATAACTTCTCTAAATTTCGTATCCGATGCCCGCGTCATCAGGGCGTGAGACAAGGATTTCAGTGCTGCTTAAGCTAGATGCTTCGTGTTGGCCTTGCCTTTCCTGTGCCTCTGTGCCCAAAGGCATCCGCGTTGATCTGTCTTCCCCGCTGGAACCTTGCTCCCGTTGATCTGTCTTCCCCGCTGGAACCTTGCTCCCCTCCCTGGCACGTGTCCGTGGCTATGACGTACCACAGAACGCCTGCCCCTTCCAGGAATTCCTGCCCAGGTCCCAGGAATTTGCTTCAGCGGAAGGCAGGGTCCGCTCAGCTGGGGTTTGACACGTTTGGCGGCAGAAGGTGGACTTCTGCTCTTGCTTCCCAGTGCAAATCCAGCCGCCTGCTTTCTTTATTAAGAGCTTTCAGGATGTCTTCAGCGAAGAGCGTGTCAGGGAGGGGTCAGCCGGATTAGTTTATAACGTCCGGATCTTCCACCCTTCCCCCCATGTTTTGAAAACCAGGCAGGGCCCCCCCCCCCCCAGGACTTCTGTGTCACCTATAACTGACCCTGTCCTCCCCCCGAGAGTGAGCCGGCCCTCGTCCTCCTATGGCCCGGCCCTGCTGGTGGCCTCCTCCTAGTCTCTGCTCGTCTGCTGTCCCCTGGGTCCCGGCTCCTTCCCCTGGTGGCGAAGTGAAAGCCCGAAAGTTTTGAGCCTCCCCTACGCTGGCCTCCGCAGCCCACTCTCTCCCTGGAGGTGCTGAAGCCCACTTTGCTCAGGTCAGGGCTTCAGGCCCAGCATTCCCTCCAGGATGTCACAGGCCCCTTTTGGAGCACCTCCCTTCCTCAACAAAAAGCCCCAAAGCACTCCTCTTGCTAGGTGTGAGACGGGCTGCCAGGGAAGGCAAAGTTATGAATACCTTATTTTCTGACAGAATGGGGCTTCCAGCAGATGGGGCTGGGACAGGCTCTTCCTCTCCACTGTCGTCCCCTGCCCCGATGTCGTCCCCTGCCAGCACCGAGGGCCAGCTCAGGCAAAGCCCACCCGCAGCTCCTGTCCGGCTGAGCGGCCTCCGCTCCGTTCTCAGCCGCCGCGATTCGGCCCCTCCCGCTTGCGCCTCCGCGCAGGTGCATGTGCCATTATTGGGCCTCTGGCACATGAATTCATTTCTGAGTTCTTTGAACTCCGTTGCATCCCCAAAGGCCCTTCTGTGGAACAGGGACTAGAGTTTCTCTAGGGTTGGCCAAAGAACAGACCAAGGACTAGTGAACGAAGCAAGATGTTGAATCAGAACTGTAGGGGCGAGCACAGGAGCGGGTATGTGGCCTCCCCAGCCCAGGGTGCGGGTGGGGGGAGCCCTGTGGGAGCTGGGTAGTTGTCCAGCTGCAGACTCGTGGGTAGGATTCACACACAGGTACACCATGGAGCCTGAGCTCTCGGACACTTTGGTATTTATCCACTTCAGTCCAATAAGCAGCATCTTGTCTCCATACCTGCCTTCACTGGGACTTCAGATTTTTACCTGTATTCAAAGTAAAGAAGAGGTAAAAAGAATGTAGGAGGGAAATTTTGGCTTTGCTTTTTTGTCTCTCTCGGGATATAAGCAGCCCGGCCCTGGATGGAGGAATGATGTTTGAGAGCAGCAGTTCTCAACCCTGTGTACGTTGGAATCCTTTGGGGGTGGGGGTAAAAACAATGCTAGTTACCCAGCGCCTCCCCAGACCCGCAGCATAAAAACCACCAACAAACCGCACACCGCCCCAAATGTTGAGACAGCGCTCTGTAAGTGGAAGTGTCCAAGTTGAGGACAGATGGTGGCCAGGATGTTGGAGAGGGGATTTTGATCTTAAAGTTTCCTTCCAATCCTAGAGTCTGTGATTCTGCACAGACCGTTACAATTAAAGCAATAAAATAGGACTTCGCCGGACCTTCATATTCTCCAAGGAGAATTCTTAAAGTGAATTCAGCGTTGAAGAAATGACTTCAGCTGGACTGTCCCCTTGTAGTCATTAGATGAGATATGTCTGCCGTGGAGAGAATTTTACGGTCGATGAGCGCAGTTCCGTGCTTTGGTTACGTACCAAAGAAATCCTTATTTGCGATCAGAGTGATTACAGATCGTGTTTCCTAAAGTGTGATAAATTGATTATCCATTTCTCCTGATTAGGCAGCAGATGGATTTTTGTTTGTCGTAGGATGTGACCGAGGGAAGATACTCTTTGTCTCAGAGTCTGTCTTCAAGATCCTCAACTACAGCCAGGTACTGCTCCGGGGTCTGTAGGTGGCGGGCAGCCTCACAGCCGCCAGAGAGGTCATCCCCCCTTTCCAGAATAATTAGAATATACAAGTCGTGTAAAATGCTTGTATTGTAACCCCCAAGCCCAAGGCTTCTTCCAGAAAGTTCTTAATTTCTTCACCGAGAAATGAATTTAAATGTAGAAAAAGCTTTTAGGATTTCCGTGCTTCCCTCACTGGCGGGTTTGACGCTGATCTCCCCAGCAGCTTTATGCTTTATTGGGATGAAATGAATATCCCGTAACTAAAGGGGGCAGGGAGTGGGGGAGGGGCTGCCCAGCAAGGAAAGGCAGATAATCTAATACCAGAGGATAAAAAAAATGGGAATCCACCCACACTGTGTGTGTGATGAGGTGTCCCTTTTTTCATTCTGCTTAACCTTGGCTTCCCCTAAGAGAAAATGATTGTAATAACCCCTACCTTTTACGATTTGTTCTTTGGATCAGATGAGATAAACATTTACGAAAGTTTCTAGAGCAGTGCTTTTCATCTCTTCTGTCCCTGGAGTTCTTATTCCCCCACCCATTCGTCTGTTCACCCACCCACTCATTCACATGCTGGTGTTTGCGTGGAAAGCTGGTAACTGAAGAATGAAAATAACACATAAATTAGAAATTAATGTTTCAGGTCCCCCAGAGTGTCTTGCTCTTTCTGGGCTCAGAGAATAGTGACGAAGGAAGTTTTTATCCTCTCCGCAAAGGATGAGGCTGTCGCGGCACATAGTCTGACACAGCTTGTTTCAGAACGGAAAGGCTTAGAATTAGCACCCACGCCCTGTGTTCCTGCACGGGCATTCGTGGGCCTCAGGAATAAATCGCGGGGAACGCGTTCCGCTGAAAGATTCCTGCCTTGGAGGAGCATGAGCTATTTATATAATTACAAATATAAGTAAGCCCTTCTCTGCTCCTGCGTTATCACAACCAAACTCCCGGTGCCTCATTCCCTGTGTCTATACCTAGGCAAAGCGATTGGACACGTGAACGTGCTCACGTTTGAAATGCTTGAAACTCTCGCGCTTAGAAATGCAAAATAAGGGCACGGCACTGGTTGGGGAAGTTCTACACCACGTGCTGTTGACTTGCCGGTTTCATGCTTCCTCCCCGCAGAACGATCTGATTGGCCAGAGTTTGTTTGACTACCTGCACCCTAAAGATATCGCCAAAGTGAAGGAGCAGCTCTCCTCCTCGGACACGGCGCCCCGGGAGCGGCTCATAGATGCAAAAAGTGAGTACCGGAGAGGCTGCGGCTGCTTCCTGGGGCCACTCAGACCGCAGCATGTGCCCCGTGGTCTCGGCCTCTGGCCCCCCTCCTCTGCCCTTTATCTGGGTCTCTGGCTAAATGCACTTATCTACATTCCTTCGTGTTTGTTTTGGTTTTGTTGCACGTACATAAAAGAGAAACAACTCAGCGTCCCGATTCACCGAGAGGAACAACAGCTGCTTTGATTCTTTCTGATTTTCAGCCGTTTCCCCCCCAAGAATCTAGAAGTTCACAACTGTATGCTTCTGAGTTTAAAGGGCTCACACCAGTGCAATTTGTTCCCCCCGGAAACATCACCTCTATTTACCTGAGTTACGCATCTGCAGCCTCTTAAGATAAAATTTGACATTTAAATCGAAGATTCTTTGACCAAAGTGGTTGTTCCTCATCAGTTGCGCGCCCCGCCCCGGCTTCCTTCTTGCAGCAGTGGAACCACCGCTCCCCTCCTCCCCTAGCTTCCCCCTCCCGTAGCCCTCCTGGGCCTCCGGTGTGAGGCCTGCCCGGTAGCTCTCCTCCCGTCAGTCTCAGTCTCGTGGGAGGCCGCAGACTCTAGCAGTTAAGAGGATGGAGTCTGGAATCACAGTGCCAAGCTCACTTCCTGGCTCCACCACTTCCCAAGCTGTGTGACCATGAGCAAGTTACTTCACCTCTCTGTGCCTCAGCTTCCTGATCTACAAAATAGTACCTGTTTCATCGGGATGTTGTGAGGATTAAATACACGAACGTGCATATAAAGCCTGTGGGGGCAGTTCCTGGCACGTAGCAGGCCCAGTGTCAGTGTTGCGATGTTGTGGGTCGGCGCAGTCAGGCCCGACCACTTTCCTGCTTGCACACTCTCCACTTCCCGGAGGGTGACACCTCCAGAGGAATCTTTAAACCATCCTTGACACTAAGGCGGTCGTCTTCCTAAGAGTTCGGCGCAGCCCCTGCTACCTGTCTGGCCTGGCAAATTTTTTAGTGACGTGAGGAGAAGAAGATGATGACGTTTGGTCCTTGCCTTTAAGGCTCCTACCATAGAGTCAGGGAGAGGAGAAGGTAGACGGCAGCCTGCAGCACAGGTACCGCCGTGGAAGGAGTAGCAGGCCTGGGGAACAGATGATTCATTCTCGTGTGGGCGTGAGGACAGGCAGCCCCAAGTAGGTGACGACTGAGGTGGGTTTGAAAGGATGAATTACTGTGTGCCAGGTGAAGAGAGGAACAGAGCAGGGCAAACGTTTCTGGATGGATACAGAGGTGTAGCTCCCGCTGTGGAGCGAAACGAACAGGGGCGGGCCGGGCTGTGTGCATTCGGGAGGAGATCACAGGGCAGGGCGGCCCTGTGGGAGGTGCGGGGGGAGGGGGCAGGCCCAGGGGGAGCCCTGGCGGCCCCTCTTCTAGCGGTCGCTCGTTTTCCCCAGACGCGTTCTGGGGACAAGTAGCCGGCGGTCGTGGCAGCATCGTAGTCCTGCTCCCCCCTCCAAAGACCAGTTCAGTTGGTGCACAACAGCATAGGCCAGTGGAGACATGAGCAAACCCCACGTATAAGCCACACGTGTGATTTAAAATTTAACCCAGTAACTCGAAATGAGGCCTTTTTATTTTGTATAGTCTTTGAACGCCTGTGTATATTCACACTTAAAGAATAGCCACATTGCGCGTGTTCAGTAGCCAGATCTAGACCGGGGTCCCGGAACCTATGTTGATTAACCCCCCAGGAGCCTCTGGCGTATAGCCAGGCTTGAGAATTTGAGGCCGTTCTGCGGCCACTCTTTCCCACTCCAGTGTCCACATCTTCCCCATCCTTCCAGTGCCAACCCAAGCTCCCTCTCTGGAAAACACATACCGTCTCTGCCATTGATTTGGCACTAATCCTACATCACCTGGCATGATTCCTCTTTCCATGGGGAACTTGCGTTTCCCTTCTCCGTCGGAAGCTCCTGCCAGACAGGAGCCCCATGCTAGACTTCTTTTCGTCCCCAGAGCAACTCCACTTGTCCAGTGGCTGCATTCTGGGGGATCTGGAAACACTTCAGTTGACCCGCACTTACCCACACGTCTCGTAAGGCCTGAACTGTCCTGAGGAATGTTACTCTCCCATCACCTAAAACAGTGAGGCAGGAAAGAAGAGGCTTTCTTCCAGGTCACACTCCCCCTCCTGACAGACAATACTACTCTCGGTTTATCACATTTTGTGTATTGATTTGCAGCTGGACTTCCAGTTAAGACAGATATAACCCCTGGGCCGTCTCGATTATGTTCTGGAGCACGACGTTCTTTCTTCTGTAGGATGAAGTGTAACAGGCCTTCGGTAAAGGTTGAAGACAAGGATTTCCCCTCTACCTGCTCAAAGAAAAAAGGTAATCAATTTCACCGCTTTAAAATCCCAATACAGCTCAGGCTGGCTTTCTGCTCTGGAGTGCTCAGCGGGGCATTGGTTCAGTGCCTTGCCGATCCCAGGACGGCGGCCAGCGTGCCACAATCCCGCCCCGCCCCCCTCCCACTGTGGGTGTAGGGCCGTTGGGGAGCAGAGGAGATTGGAAAGCCCTGGTGGGTGTCACAATGACAGAGATTCGTGGGAGAGCTTCCTTGGTTTAAACTATGTTTGTCCTAATGTGGTTGAGAAAAAACTCTGAGCCACAATCCCAGCCACTTCCTGAGCATCCTACCAATCCACCATAATACTCTGGCTAAATTCGCCAGCGACCTTCATGTTGCGAAACACAATGGACGCTTCATTCTTCTTCCATCTTTTTTTTTTTTTTTTTTGACGTTTATTTATTTTTGAGACAGAGAGAGACAGAGCATGAACGGGGGAGGGTCAGAGAGAGGGAGACACAGAATTGGAAACAGGCTCCAGGCTCTGAGCCATCAGCCCAGAACCTGACGCAGGGCTCGAACTCACGGAGTGCAAGATCGTGACCTGAGCCGAAGTCGGATGCTCAACCGACTGAGCCACCCAGGCGCCCCTCTTCTTCCATCTTGAAGTGTCGTCTTCCCTAGGATTCCACAAACCCTTTCTTCTCGTCTCCCCCATCCTCTGCCATTCTAGGCCCTCCGCCTAGCTCCTGCACTGGCTCCTCTTCTGTCCTGAGCCACCCTTGTATCTGCACTTGATCCATAGGTAATGTCCTCTGCCGCTTTAGCCCACAGCGCCACTTAGATGCCAGTGACTTCCAAGTTTGTATTTCTAGCCCAGGTTTTTAGTTTGAGCTCCAGACCCACAAATTAACTTCTTAAATCTACCTGCTCCGATAGCTCAAGGGCATCTCAAACCTGATCTGTGTAAAAGTGACCGCATGAGCTTCCCCTGACGTAAATGGCCCCACCATCATCTAGTTGCACATACTGGAAGCTGGGGAGGCACCCTCAGCTGGGTTTACTCCCTCCCTTCATCCGGTCAGTTACAAAGTCCTGCCACAATGAATTCCTTCTGCAGAAGTTCTCTGAAGTATGTTTATCTACCTCCCTGTTTACCATACCACTCAGACCCAGGCCACTCTCTGCTCTCCCCACGTCCAGCAAAGTAGGCTCCTTACACTTTCCATCTCTCCACACAGTACCCCAGGTGACCTTTTTTTTTTTAATTTTAAGTTTTTATTTTTGAGAGAGCGTGAGCAAGGAAGGGGCAGGGAGACAGAGGATCCAAAGCAGGCTCTAGGCCCTGAGCTGTCAGCACAGAGTCTGGAGCAGGGCTTGAACTCCCGAATCGTGAGATCATGACCTGAGCCGGAGTCAGACGCTCAACAGACTGAGCCACTCAGGCGCCCCCAAAATGATCTTTGTAAAGCAAGTCTTTCTATCAGTTTCCTGCTCCAAACTGTGCAGGGTTGCCTGCTGCTCTTGAAGAAAATTTGAGAGTCCTGAACACAACCACGCACTTTCCACTCCTACCGGCACTCCTGTGTTCAGCTCTGCCGACTCCCTTTCGATGCCAACCCCCCTTTTCTATCCAGGGTCTCTCCACACTGACCCCTCTGATTGGAATGCCACCCCCCCCCCCACCAGCTTTCTTTCAGCCCGATAGCTCAGCTGGCCCTTTAGGGATGTGCATCAGTGTCTGCCACTCACTCCCTCAGGCCGCCTTACGTCTTCCTGTCACAACCTACAGATTTTCTTTCTAGCATGTTCTTGCAGTTGCACTTGTGCCCTTATTGGTATAGTTGTTTATTTGAAATCTGTCTCCCCCACTGGACTAGAAACTCCATGATGGCACGTCTGGTTGGTTTTCCAGTTTCCCAGTAACTAGCACAGACCTGATGCTTGGGAAACACCCCATAAGGATTTGTTGATGAAATTCACAGGTGTCCCGTCTTCCGTGTGTCCCAAAGTGAAACCTTTCTCCCTCTTCTCTAAAACATACTGTGTATTCTCTCTTCCCTGGCTCCGCGAATAGCACCAGCAGCTAATTCAATCCCAAACTGTTGGCGTTCTCTTCATTCCCTTTCATACCAAGCTTTTTGATATTCATACCAAATCTCAGCAGTTCTCAGAAACTTCTCCCACATCCTTCCCTGCCTCATCCTCACTGCGGAACCAGAGTCCAGTGGTCATCACCTCTTGGTGCATGCTTGTCTTCCTCCTGGTTCTTAGTCTCTTCCAGTTTACCTGTCATTCTGCTTCTCGGGTGTCCAAAGCACGATTTGCTTTTGCTGTTTCCCACTTACATACTTTTAGAAGCTCTCCACTGCCCATCTCATAAACACATTTGTTAGCAAATAGTCTAAGACCCCAGTAATCTGCCCCAATTTGCCCCTCAGTCTGTGTTGTGTCTTCAGCTGGAGACAGGCTTCAGCTTTGCCCTTTCCCTTTGAACCACCCAGAGCTCTCTGTTGTCTCTTGTACAGGGCGCACCTCTGTGCCTTGGAACATTCTCAGCCTCCGCACATTCTAGTCCCTTGGCCAGTGCTCATCCTTCTCGATCCATCCACCTCCTATGTTGTTCTCCTGGGCAGCCTCCTCTCTCTGGGTAGACTTAGATACCTCTTCCTTGGTATATGGGACGGCCTTGGCATAACCGGCCCTGCTCGGCATATATGACACCAGATGATCGTTGTCTATTTCTGTGTCCTCCTCTCTCACTAGAGTCTCACTTGCAGAGAGTAAAGCTCTGTTTATTTTTCTGACTCCCTTCTGGCATCCCAGCCCACCCGAGGCTGCCTGTGTCTGCGCACGGGGCGCCGTGCTGACGCTGACCACGGCTTTTGCTTTCTAGCAGATCGAAAGAGCTTCTGCACCATCCACAGCACAGGGTATCTGAAGAGCTGGCCGCCCACAAAGATGGGGCTGGATGAAGACAGTGAACCAGACAACGAGGGCTGTAATCTCAGCTGCCTGGTCGCAATTGGACGACTACATTCTCACGTGGTTCCACAGCCGGTGAACGGGGAAATCAGGGTGAAGTCTATGGAATATGTGTCTCGGCACGCGATAGACGGGAAGTTTGTTTTTGTAGACCAGAGGTAAGAGTCTGTGTATTACCCTTGAACAAGAATGGTACAAGGTTTTCAGCTCTGAGTGAAGCAGAGAAGACTGGGCCACCAGCTGGCTTTCTACGAGAGAAGGAAGTGATGGGGATCTCTGCTAAAAACTGAGACCTCTTGGAATATCATCATAAATACAGAGATATTTCCCTTTAATGTCCTTGGCATGTAGAGATGGTGAAGTAGAGTGGTTTGTCCATGACCAGAAGAGAAATAGTAGGCATGGTATATGCTATCTGAATGTATGGACTGTTCCCGGGCCACTACAGTGACTGGAATTCCGGAATGTAGGGCTTGGAGAAGATTATCTAGTCCTGAGTTGTCTGGTGGAGTAGTCCTTGGCTGTGGTGATCTCATATGGCTGTTCAAGGTTTAATTTCATCAACATGAAGTTAAAAATTCCTCAGGCTTGATGGCACTAGAGTGTGTTACACTAAACGAAATAGGTCAGGGAAAGACAGATCCCTATGATTTCACTCATGTGAAATTTAAGAAACAAGACAGATGAACATAGGGGAAGGGAAGGAAAAAAAGAAGATAAAAGCGGAGAGGGAGGCAACCCATAAGAGACTCTTAAATACAGAGAACAAACTGAGGGGTGCCGAAGGGGCGTTGGGTGGGGGGATGGGCTAAATGGGTGATGGGCATTAGGGAGGGCACTTTTGGGATGGGTGCTAGGGGTTATAGGTAAGTGATGAATCACTGAATTCTACTCCAGAAACTAGTAATTACCCTGTATGTTAACGAACTTGCATTTAAGTTACAAAAAAAAAAAAAAAAAAAAAAAAAAGTAAAAAAAAATTCCTCAGGCTCAGTAGCCATATTTCAGGTATTCAATAGCTACATGAGGCTAATGGCACAGATCTAGAACATTTCCATTGCAGAAAGCTCTGTTGGCCACACTGATCTAGTCCAATCTTTTATTCTTTACGGGTGAGGAGCTGGGGCCCAGCCTGAAGACTGGCTACCTCCAATTCACAGCTTAGTGGTAATGGACCTGAGCTAAGAACCCAGACGTCGTGTTTTCCACTGCTCTCTGCTGCCTCCCTGAGAATATTCACAGGCAGATCATTTTTCTGGCTATCAGAAATAGTCACTGTATGTTGGTAAAGGACACCACCACTTTTCAAGGTCCTTATGGCCCCTGCCACCATAACTTCCAATGTTTGGTCATCCTGATTAAAAAAAAAAAAAACAGGAGGGGATAGTAAAATGGAAATTTGCACTGGGGTTTAGACTGCCTACCACATTTTTATCTGACTAGTTATTATTTCTAAGCCTCCTTTCTTGGGATGATGACCCCTTTGAAAGGCTACTTCCTTTCCCTCTGTTTGTATAGCGTTGGTTAGATTCGGGTGCACCAACAAAAATACATCCATGTAGTAAGCCTTCTGAAAATCCAGCCAGCTTTGACCCTTGTTCTCACCGGCGGTAGTGGGGTTCATCCACTGCAGAGAGGCTAACTGTCTGAATTAACTTTTTCTTTAAAAAAAAAATTCTAGGGCAACAGCTATTTTGGCATATTTACCGCAAGAACTTCTAGGCACATCATGTTATGAATATTTTCACCAAGATGACATAGGACATCTCGCAGAATGTCATAGGCAAGGTAAGCTGTACAAAAGGCCTTAAGTTCAAGGCGTCCCTCTTCTTCGACACTAGTCCACATAAGTGTTCCAGAGAAGTCTGCCCCCAGTGATGTCAGCCAGCCTAGGAATCTCCAGGCCAGAACATCTCGGAAGAGAAGAAGCCGATGTTCCCAGGCCCTATTTGTCTCCTTACAGAGAACCCACTGACAGCCTAGCACTTTTGTGTACATAGGACAGTTCAATTTCTAGAAAGCATCTCTTGCCCAGAGAATTTACACGGACCCTGTGAAGATTTAGTATGGCTCCAACAGATCTGATTCTCTTTTCCATAAAATCCTGCAGTGCCTCCTGTATTTTCCTCTTGACTGAGGGCACTGCCCTATGTTAGCCTCCTGAGAGAGGAACCAGTATTGACCCGTTCCTTCACTGTCCACCAGATCCTGTCCATTCACCTCAGACATGCGTTTCCCAAGAGGCCCCATTTTGTACCTCCACTGCCACAACCCGAGCTCAGCCCTTGTGCCCAGCTGACCACTGTGATAGACATCCAGCAGGCCTCTGTGTTCCCTTCTGCTCCCAGTCACCTTCCGTCTTTCATAGTTAGCCCATTTGTGCCCAGTCGATTGAGCTCCATACCGTCACATCCTTGCTTAAACCTCCCGCCTTTAGACTCCAGGCCAAATACCCTTGATAGGCACTCAAGACCCTCCCTCTCCTGGCCCTGCCCCACCTCCTCAGCTTCACGCCTCACCCCTGCCTGCGGAGAAACATCCCCTCCATTCCCTGCCACTCCTCAGGCACTGCTGGATTCTTCCTCCCTCGAGGCTCTGACCTCTTCTGCGTAGCTGCGTCTCATTCCTGTCCTGAGGGTGGGGGTCCCATCCCATCTCCTCTTCTATCTCCGGTGCCTGGCACACGAAAGATGCTTGTTTGTTACGTAAAAGAGTAAAATGTGAATAGGTGAGTGACCTCCCTGGATTCTGCTGTCCTAAAAATGCTGTACTGCCCTCTGGCTTGATGATGAGGAAAGAACACGGGCCCTTGGGACAGGGCTTTTTCTCACTGGTGGTTCACTTCGTAGCCAATTCTGGTCAGAGGTCTATAACGCAGTCAGTTATTCCCCAGAGCCTCCATTTCGTACCCTGAAAACTAGCAAGAAATTCATAAATGCCGTCGAAAGGCTCTGAATCAAACCCTCAGAAACAGCCTGTTCTCCGAGTGCCAGCTCCCTTGGCTTATTAAAGAGTGATGCCATGGAGCCTGAGTGCACTTAGGATTTGGTTACTTTAATACATGGGTCTGAGGAAACAACATTCATGGTTTTTTTGCATTTTCAGTTTTACAGACAAGAGAAAAGATTACGACTAATTGCTATAAGTTTAAAATCAAAGATGGTTCTTTCATCACGCTGCGGAGTCGATGGTTCAGTTTCATGAACCCTTGGACCAAGGAAGTAGAATACATCGTCTCAACCAACACTGTTGTTTTGTAAGTGTTTTTCCTCTATCAGAGGCTCCCTTGCTTCAGAGATCAATGCTTTGGGCTCCTTACCTGGGCAAGGGGGGTACGGGCGACAGCCGGCATCACATCCTTTACTGCTACCTTGTTCATATCCCATGAAGCCTCAGGATGGGCAGAAGCCAAAATTTCTCTGTTAACGACACGCTTCAGTACGCATAGCATGCAGGCCCCTGGCTTGTGGAATTCCTCCAAGAAACAGCAACATTTCCCTCCCAATAAAGCAGTTAGCTTTTGAATTCTGAAGGCCCTGCACACAGGACATCCACGGGTACTGCCGTGCGGAGAAGGGGTGACAAACAGGTGCCAGCTCACAGTAGCCTTGGCTGAGGATGGGCGGGTATCCCTGCCACCAGGCCGGTAGCCTGAGCCCTGGCGGCTGGAGCGTTGCCTCAAAGGCCTGCTAGGTGAGAAGGGAAGGACCTCTTCCTTGGCAAGGACTGCACCGCACCTCTCTTTCCCCGTGGTGTCCAAAGCCCCGCCTGTGGCTAGAGCTGAGTGAGGGGCTGGGGCGGGGTGCCTTGCAGAGTGGCAAGAGAGGAGGCCTTGTGGCTATGGTGGCGGGCTGCCACAGTCACCATCTCTGCTGGACCGTGTCCCACACAAACTAGGAAGGCCCAGGCAGGCAGTGAGGCCAAAGGCCGGGATGATGTCTCTTGTGTTCTCAGACAGCGAGGAGACCTGCTGAGCCACTCAGACCCTTCGTTTTCTGGCCCGTCCAGGTCCACAGTGGACCCTGGACACCTTGGCCGAGGTGCGAGCTGCACGGTTGTGAGCAGGCCTGACTCATGTTTCCTTCTTGCTGGGATGTTCACAGAGCCAACGTCCTGGAAGGCGGGGACCCAACCTTCCCGCAGCTCACAGCGTCCCCCCACAGCATGGACAGCATGCTGCGCTCTGGAGAAGGTAACTATGTCCCGCAGGGGCATCGGGGCTTGCCCATGAGTAGCTGCTTGTGGCCAGCATACCATCCCCCCAAGCATTTGGTGTCCCCAGCTACCATATTTTATGGAACGAGGGAGGCCTCAAGGGGATGAGCGCTAACGACGTGGTCATCTCATCTTCTCTGCTGAGCCTGGAAAACCCGGAGCTTATTTTGCCTTTCTTGAGGCTGCCTGCACCCTGGAAGCCCTTGAAACAGCAAAGTCCTTGCTCCTCTTGCGCTTTTCCTCTGCATTGCGTGAAGTGCTTTTTGTTGACTGTGACTGGCTCCTGGGGTGGGAGGAGGGTGGTGTCAGCACTGGGGTATGTGCCACACCCAGTGGGGCTCCTTCCCTGGCTTGGCTCCAGCCCCTGGGTTCTGCGCTTGACTTGTCCTTCCACGGGACCACCTCTGCTTGCTTGGCTGTCTTCATTCCCTACCTCTCCATCAGTGACTCCTACATCCGGTCTGTCTCCGGAGCTCTAGGTCTGTCTCTCCAACTGCCTCCTGGACAGAGCCACCAGGAGTCTCAAAGGCACCTGAAATTCGGCATCTCCAAACCGATTCTCTGCACTCCCTCATCTGGTTGGTTAAGCCAGAAACCCTGACAACTCCTTCTCGCCCATTGTATCTGAACACGAAATCCTGTCCCTTCTACTTAGGGACTTAGACTTCCATCGCCCTCCCATCTGTCATCTGGATTATTGCAGATAACTTTCTAACCCTAGTCTCACTACCCGCCCGCCACCAATCCCCTTCTTCCACTATAGATCGTTCTCCATGCGGTGGACTTTCCAATAACCCAATCTGAGTGCCCTTTCTGTGTCAAGTCCCTTGGCACTCCTTATCATCCGTGGATACTGTCCAAATGCTACATGGCATCCCAGGCCTTTTCTGATCTGATTGGTACCTGTCTTCAGTCTCATCTATCACTCCTTTATCATCTTCATGATGAGTTTCTTGGAGTCCTCTCCCCAGTTTTGTCCTGCCTCGGTGGTCTTACATAGATCAGTTGCTGTGCGTGGAATGCCTCCCCCTCCTTACCTCTCTGCCAAGTTAATTTATACTCCTCTCTCAAGACTCAGCTCAGAGTTCAACTTTTCCAGGAAGCTGCACTTGGCCCTGGATGAGTGGGGTGCCTTGTGCTTCCCTGCCAAACTTACCACACCTTGTTTCAGCCATTGTTCTTGTCTGTCTCCTTGTTAGACAGTGAGCTCCTTGAGGGCAGAGATGCTGACTTGTGAGGCTGGCCGGCAGTACAGTGGTGGTCAGGAAACAGATGTTGAGTGCCTGAGGGGAATTAAATGCTTTGCCTTGGCTTCTGATCCTGGAAGCCAACTTGAGCTCTCTGCTGGAATGCCTTTTCCTGACAAGCTATGGCCCTGCGGTCCTCTAGGGCATAACCCTAAGGTTGAACTTCAAGTGGATCACGAGATGAACTGGTTTTAACTGATAATAGCATTTCTTCCTCGGTTCCCCTTTCCCACTCTCAGATTCCTTTGTTGTAGGTGGCCCAAAGAGGACCCACCCCACTGTTCCAGGGATTCCAGGGGGAACCAGGGCTGGGGCAGGCAAAATAGGTCGAATGATTGCTGAAGAAATCATGGAGATCCACAGGCAAGTAATATCTTCTAGTCGCTCCCTTAAACCAGTGGTTCTCAATCCAGGGCCTTTTGCCTCCCCCTCAAGGGATGTTTTGTAATGTCTGGAGACACTTTTGGTTGCCATAACTGGGTAGGATGTTGCTGCTAAACATGCAATGGATAGACACCAGGGATGCAGCTTGCTCAACATCCTGCAGGACATGGGACTGCCTCCCCCCCAATCTCCCCCGACCCCCAACGAAGAATTTTCCAGTCCAAAATGTCAGTAGTGTCGAGAATGAAAAACCTTGCCTTAAAGAAGCAAAACCCAAACAGGCCAGAGTTAAAGGAAATTTTCTTACTACTAAGGAGCTAACAAGGACAGATGAACATGGACATTACAGGACTACAGGAGAGCGATGACAGACGGTGACCTGGGCCTTAACAAGACATTCACTGCTTCTAGTCAAAAAGCTGCCTGGCTTTAGTAATAGAGACCAAGCATTTCAGTTAGTAATAGAAGCTCTCTTGAGAGGGCTTCTTTTCCATATGAAAGACAGCAGAAGCGATTTACCTGGGTTTGAGTTCTGGGCCTCTACTTAGCTGTGCTTAAGAGATTCATTTAACTTTTTGGTGTCTGTTGAGCTAAACCATAAAAGGGGGCAATAACTGTATCTCTCAAGGATTGCCCTAGGAGTGTGAGAGATCTCTGGGAAGTTCCTACAACAGAAACTGACAATAGTGTGTGCTCAAACACTGTTAATTACATCTAAGTCTTTAACAGTAGTGATTGAGAGGGAAGCAGTTATAAATTCATCTGAATTTGGGGAATCGAAAGGGTAGTAACCAGGTCCTTAGGAATGCACACTTAATGGAACATAGGAGAAGGGAAAATTTATTCCCTCCTGCCATGGATTTTCTCTCAGGAGAACTGAAAGCTGGTCTTGCTTTCTCATTAGCCATAGAGGAGGCTCTTATCCCAGTGGGTAGAATAGTTCTCTTCCAACCCTCTGTGAATGATGGGTATGGCCCCTTGAGTCTACTTCAAGATGTGGGGCAGTGTGCAGTGATAATCAGAATCTTACCAACCACTGATAATGATGCTTGAAACCACCCAAGAACAGTAGAAAACAGTCCTTGACGTCAAGGATCTTACAATCTTTGAGAAGTCTGTTTTCTTTATGATCACACAAAAAAGGGAGAGTGCATGAGCTGAAGCAGGGAAGGGAGATTGCTAAGAATCCTAATAAATAATGCTAAGAAGTTTAGACGGGGGGAAAAAAAACTAAGAGCCCATTCATTGTAGGAGGCTGAGCAGATGTCCAGTGTTGTGCTAATAAGCATTATGGAAAGTTAGACTGGAATAGGAAGAGACGAAGGTGAGCATTAGTAAGTTTGGTAAGCTTACTAAGTTTTTAGTAAGCAATTAGTACCCATCTGTGTGTTCTAAGAGTGCATGGTATATAGCTGTAACCTACCTTTGAGGAGCTTATGATCCAGGAGAGAGAAAGCTTATTCACTCCCAACTCTACAGAACGGGGCAATACAGGCCAATGGCCAGAAGGCTACTAGGCAGTGGAGGGAGGGGTACTTGGGTAACCCGCAAGTTGCATTCATCCACGTAGAAGCTAAAGGCCTGGTGGTCACACAGCTGCCACCATACTCGAGCTTCACCACTAGGCCATGGCTTCCTTTCCTGAGGTCCTTGAGCCTGGCGAGCATATATGTGGATTTACAGTTCTAAGACTTTCTCTGTTAATCTACTATACTGAGAAACATACTAGCTGAGAGGACTTGGACCCCTTTTTCATCACCTGTCGCTTTAGAAGGCGGTGGGGACAGCTGCTGCTGCTACTACCGCTACTGCAAGGCTACTTTCTAGGTGTGGCTGAACCACCCTGGCACATTCCATTTCCTTAGAATACTGACCAGATAAAAAGTGTTTGTAGGGAAGAGGATAAGTCACTTGCTGTGGGTTCTAGTTCATGGTATGCAAAAAGCTACAGGGAGAACTTCTAAGGCCCCCTCCAACTCTGAGATCTGGATACTGTAAGAAATGAAACTGGCCACTCACCTGAAACTCAACCACCTGAAATGCAAACCCTAATCCGAGGGCTTTGTCAGGGAGATGCTAGGCTCCAGGGTCTGCATTCTAGATCAGGGCCTGTGGGATAAATGCAGCTTCTCGCCTGTTTTTGTATATATCATGTTTTACATGTTTGCTTCTTTGCGAGAGGGAGCTTGTGGGTGCGCCCACAAGTGGGGGAGGAGCAGAGAGAGAATGAGAGAGAGAATCCCAAGCAGGCTGCACACTGTCGGCACGTGGGGCTCCAGCACACAGCCATGAGATCATGACCTGAGTTGGAATCAAGAGCCAGACGCTTAACCGACTGAGCCACCCAGGCGCCCTAAATATAATTTTATTGGAACACAGCTGCACTCACTCATTTCCATATGGTCTATGGTTGCTTTCAAGCTACAATGGCAGAAGTGGGTAATTGTGACCAAGACCATATGTCCTACAGAGCCTAGAATAGTTAGTTTGATCCTTTATAGGAAAAGTTTGCCAATCCCTATTCTGGGTCTTCATCCTTCTCCTTACCCCCACCCCTCACACACCACTGAAGAAAACGAAATGCAAAATAACTAACTCCTCTTTTCTCTGACAGAATAAGAGGGTCATCGCCTTCCAGTTGTGGCTCCAGCCCATTAAATATCACAAGTACACCTCCCCCTGATGCCTCTTCTCCAGGAGGCAAAAAGGTAAGGCTGATGACTCTCAGACTAAGGCCCTTCTTAATCCGGAGAGCCTCTTGCCCAAGTTGAAATACTGGGGGTGGGAGTAAATAATTAGGGATGGTTGCTGAAACAACGTGGATGCTCTTTTCCTTTTAAGTAAATTCTTCTGTATGAGTTGAGGTAGAATGCATACCGGTGGAGTTAGGGAGGCTTGCTGACATCCTTAGAGGATTTATTTCACGTGAATGCAGGAAGGCAGAAAGGATGTTCTAAGGAATGGGGAGGACACCACACTGAGGGAGTATTTCAAGAGCTCCCATGAAGCATTAGTGAGTGCCTTGCACCGAAAACTATCTAGTTCTTTACCAAGAACTGTCAAGGGAGAAAAATATCCTCAGTGTCCAGTGCAGGCACTGGAAATAGGAATACTACCAGAAGCAACTTTGGTGCTATGGAAGCCAAACCATGCCTTTGCAGCTGCAGAATACCTGGGGGATCTGCTACCTAGATTTCCTGTGATGTGACAGCACAAGAATTTTACGTCACCAGCCCTCATGAAGAGTTGGCTAGAAGACTGCACTATAAATAGGCTTAGAAACCACTCTTTTGTTTCCATCTTTGCCAGATAATTTACAAGTGTAGGGGCCATCTTAATTGTAAATCATACATGCATTTATAGTGCCTGATGTCAACATAGGTTAGGATAATCCAAGGGCCAGCATCTTTGGACATAGATCATCCTTCTCCTACCTCCCAAAACATACAGAGAGAAAGAATATTAGTAATTTACACAGACAGGACTCCTAGAACACAAACTGTATCAAGCGCAGGACATGGGTTTTCAAAACTGCATTCCTCAGAGGCTCAGGTTACCAGGAGCTGTGGTGCTGGCACGTGGGATGGGGCAAGGGCAAGGGCAGTTGGGGGAATGGAGAGGGTAAGGGTAAGGTCGGGACTCTTGCCGGGCCTCCAGGCCCGGGGCTGCTCGCCCCGGGCCTACCAGGGCAGCTTTATTTTACATATGAATCTTCTGTAAAAATTTCTATTTGAAAATAAGTTTCCAAACCCGATAAAGGTTTGAAAGGCAATTAATGGGTAAGAGTGGTCAATGAAAGACCCGAGCTTGAAGCCTGGCTTTGCCATGTGCTAGCTATGTGCCCTTGTATAATTATTTAGCCCTAGTTCTTGTTTTTTATTTTGTTTTATAACGAGGCTACTATAGGTTAGGACAGCCAGCATCTTGGCACATTAAGCCCTGTTATAAGGTAATATATGTGAAAATTCCTGGCCTTTGTTAGACGCAGAAAATAGCACCAGTGGATGAAGCCTAGGCTTGGCACATCCTCAATCCCTGCTTGCAGGTTTTGCTCTTAGGTCTGTTCTATCCCAAGATCCTCCATCCATATTGGGTCCAAGCATCCCCTTAGGGTGGTCTCCCCTTCTCTGCTTCTCACTTCAACTTTTAGACCTTTGACTTCCTGGTATTACCAAGAATCCCGCTACTCTGTTTTGAAAGGTTATCACTCCAGTAGAGTGCTTAAATATTACTCAGGGAACTTACACATTTTCTCCTCTTAGATTTTGTCACCTATAAAGTTGTTAGACTAAGTTCCCAAATATTAAATGCTGGGCTTATCATTTAACAAGTATAGGCCAAAACTTAAATTCAGGTCTCGACTGTTGATTCTTTTCACACCAACAACTGCAGAGATCCAGAAGTGTACTACTCTACATCACAACGCCCCAAGTATTTTTGACGCATTTACGGAAATTTTGGGGGGAGGGGGCGGGGGGGCTTATAGAAATGGGAAGAAATTCTGAATAGGAGTCCTCAGCAAACAGGACTTATAAGAGCAGCTTAAACAAGATGGAGTTAGAAATGACAGCAGCATTGTGCCAAAGCCATGAGAGTAAAGGTGGCCCCAGGCTTCCAGCCCTTCCCAGTCACTTTCAAATTGGGCAGGTCCAAAAATGAGCCATTCAGTTTGACAACTAGTTCATTCAGAGTCAAGCTTAAAAAGTGAGGCTCTAAGTCAACCTCCTCGGTCCAAGGAGAGTCTGGACAATCCAGAGGCATAAGGTAGGTTCAGATAAAGTGGCAGCTCCCCTAAATATCATCTGCAGTCTTTTTTTTTTTTTTGGAAGGCAGGGGAGAGGTGTTGAGGGGGGAAGGACCTTTTCAGGGGTCTCCCAAGGCCAAAACTGTTTTCATAATGTAAAACTTTTTTTTCTCCCACTGTTAATACAGGAACTGACAGTGCAAAAGAGTGTCGGGTAAAACTGCTGGTGCTTTTGCAAAAATCACGGCAGTGGCACCAAACTGTACTAGTAGTCACTGTAGTCTTCAGCATCAACTCACAAAAAAATAAATTTGCAAGCCAGTTTTAGAATGTCCTTAATAAGCAGTAAAAATACCGCATAAAATCCTTGAGTCAATGTTTTCATACTGATACAACTGGGAAATGTGCATGAACTATGTACTGCCCTGGTTGCCTCAAAGGAAAGCACTTGCATGACCAAGTCATGAGCTAAACAAATTGCTTTTGTCATAGCATAGACCATTTTCACTACTGCAAACTGCGGTTATTCAGACTTGAGTATTTAGAGACGTTTTCTTGAAAATGTACGTGAGTGCAAGGAAAACAACTGACAGTGTTTGTTGCCAGTGAGAAAATTTTAGCTTTCAAGCAGAGAGAGTTTTTGGAAAACTTGTAACTGCTACTTTGAGCTCACCAGTTTCCCGGAATTTAAAAGGTATTTCTGCCGATAGAGGTAATATTAAGGATGGTGATGTTTTGATGTATGGTGAAACGTGTCAATATTTAGATCTGCCTGACTCAGCCAGTATCATCAGAATACCAAAGTTATTTGAAAAGACTATTCAAATATACCTCCCTTTTCCACCAAACAACATCTAAACAGGAGAAAATGAGAATCCAGTTAAATCCAGTTAAGCCAGACAATTGATTTAAAAAAAGACATTTCTGAACTTTTGTTTTAAAAAAGCTATTTTTCATTAAAATGCTATTCAGGTTAACATATAATAGGTTTATTAGATTTAAAAAATTTTAGTTGTAACTTCGCATATAGGAAATATTGATAAATACAGCATACATAAACACATGGTCTTTGGAGTTTTCAATTGGTAATGCCACCTACTGGCAAGACTCGCAATCACTGCCTCCTTGGAAATCTAATCAGCTGCTGAGGTTTTAGTCCTTGGCCTTCAAGAATCATGTGAATAGTGTGATCCAAGGTAAACAAATGCTCTAGGGATTTTACTCGGTCTTTAAATTGCCTGTGTGGGCTGAATCATCCAGAGAAAATAATTTGGGGGAGAGGTTTATCTTACTGTGACCATTCCTAATACCTTCCTGCTTGAAATCCTCGAATAGGAAACTGAACATTTCCTCCCCTACCTTTCTCTTTTCAACATGCTTCGTTTTCTTGATGATCTTGAGTCCAATACTGATTAAAACTGTTAATAATACAAAAACTTCACTTTTTGTTCGTAGATTTTAAACGGAGGGACTCCAGACATTCCTTCCAGTGGCCTACTACCAGGGCAGGCTCAGGAAAACCCAGGTTATCCATATTCTGATAGTTCTTCTATTCTTGGTAAGTAGCATTATTACTCGTTTCCACTGTCAGAAGCTTGCACAACATCTGGCATGAAGTCAATTTTAAGAAATGAATAAAACACACTAGTTCTAACCTAGTTTAAAATTTGTTTAAATCTTTACTTCAGAGTTCAGTTTAGTGGTTGAGTTCAGGTGGAGATTCCAGGTTTGTCCCTGGAACTCAAAAGGAGACTCCAGCAGCCTAGAGACAGCCATTTTCCCATGTGGGCCAGAAATCTTCAGTGGGAGAGCTGCTGAAGGTTCAGAGATAAAGCCTGGAAGGATGATCAATAAGCATTTCAGAGGGTATTAAAAGTCATGAAGTGATAAAGAGTTTGTTTCTCCCATCTCACCCATCTTTTTCTCCATTTGTCTTTCCAGATCTTTTTTTTCCTAAATCCCTACCTTCCTATTTGTCTTTCCTTCTGTATCTCCCTCCTTGTAACTGGTTATGTCAGAATATTAAAATGAGGTCAACTCCAATGCTTTTTATCTTTATTGCATTTTCAGCACTTTGTTTCTAAAAAGTTGGTTATTCTGAGACACAACAAAGTTAAAAAAAAAAAAAAAAAAAAAAGGCAATGCAGCCCCAACGCAGTCTTTCTCACCATTCTCCCCTTACTGTTATGTACTACTAATATTAAACATGCTTTGGGATTATGACTGACCAGTCTTCCTCTTCTCCCACAGGTGAGAACCCTCACATAGGCATAGACATGATAGAAAACGACCAAGGCTCAAGCAGTCCCAGCAATGATGAAGCAGCAATGGCCGTCATAATGAGTCTCTTGGAAGCAGATGCTGGGCTGGGAGGTCCCGTTGACTTCAGTGACTTGCCATGGCCGCTGTAAACACTACATGTTGCTTTGGCAACAGCTACAGTATCAAAGTGCATTACTGGTGGAGTTTTACAGTCTGTGAAGCTTACTGGATAAGGAGAGAACAGCTTTTATGTACTGTCCTCATAAAAGCCACCTCAGAGCCATTGATACAAGTCAATCTTACTATGTGTAACTTCAGACAAAGTGGAACTAAGCCTGCTCCAGTGTTTTCTCATCATTGATTATTGGGCTAGCTGTGGATAGCTTGCATTAATTGTATATTTTGGATTCTGTTTGTGTTGAATTTTTTAATCATCGTGCACAGAAGCATCATTGGTAGCTTTTATATGCAAATGGTCATTTCAGATGTATGGTGTTTTTACACTACAAAGAAGTCCCCCATGTGGATATTTCTTATACTAATTGTATCATAAAGCCGTTTATTCTTCCTTGTAAGAATCCTTTACTATAAATATGGGTTAAAGTATAATGTATTAGACAGTTAAATATTTTTAATAAATGTTTCCCTTGTTCTATAAATACTGTTTGTGCTACAGGGCTGGATCAACTTTCTACAGTGGGTTTTTAAGGACAAGCCACACCCATAACATTTACAGTGCCTTTCTGGCCTTCATAACAAACGTAGGACTTACAGAATTTCCGTGTGTTAATAGCTTAGCTATACTGTTAAAATAATTCCTCCCCAAAGAGTTGGCAGTTTTATGTGAGTACAATGTTACTGCTTAAACACATATTTCAAATCCTATGAAATTACAGATTCAAGAGTAGGTGTAGCAAATGGGCTTATTTCCTACAACTCCTCTCTGCTCATGGTTGTATAGCTTCACACAGTAAGTAACCCCTGACCCAAGCATTTTTGCTTCCTTCGTGAATTGGGCCACAGAGTATTTTTTTCAAAAGAATTTGCACAGTTTGCTAAGAGGAACAGCACAGTATAACGGACAAAGCACCAAACCAGTGTCAGAAATTGTCTCCAAAACCTAAGGTTCTCCTATAACCTAGTAAAGCCATTACTCTTGATGTTAGGTTTGACTAGAAAAATGTTCTTTTTTTTTTTTTTTTTAGCTCAAACACTGCTTCGGATTTAGTAGGGAATCCAAGTGCTTCATCACACATCAACCAAACTGGAGGTCCATGAGCTACCACTGAGACTGGAAATCTATGAGACTAAGGGATCTGGTCAAGATGGTTATAAACTTGATGAGAAACATTAAAACAATGGAATTTTATTTTGATGAAAAACTCGAGTTTACAATCATTTAGTAAATGAAGAGCAAACACTTCATTTTCCTATCCCATAACTCTTAAGAAAAAAAAAACTAGTAAATAAATATCTGAACAGATAAAGGGTAAGGCAGACTGGATGTTCACACTTCCTGCATGTGACTCACTGTAAAAGGGCAAGAACAGCACTGGAGAGAAGATAGATAGGGGCATTGAATCTCATCCTAATCATTCAAATAAGCCCAATGATAAATACTCATTTTTTTTTTGCTCATCACGGGCAGCAAACTATACACATTTTACTGAAGGAATACTTTGATAGAAGCACTTATTTCAGTTATATTGTGCATCACAACTATAAAAATGGCTTGAACAGTTCCATTTAACCACCATTTATAAAGTGCAACTATGTAATATTCTACATTTTACCTGGGGTGTGATGAGTATCAATCTAAGCTGAAAAGACCCCAGCTGCCAATTTTCACCACTTCTGAAAATACCTAGATGTGTGAAAAAAGACAGTCCCCCATACAAAGAACCAACTTCACAAACCTACTGGTAAACAAATACATTTATATAACTGGAACCTCAGGATGCTAGAGTTGTACTCATTTAAAAAACCATTCAGCTACCTTTGGTCTTTAAAAAAGCCTCCACTGCAATATCCTAAACATTGTTATGTGCATCTCACGATGAAGAGCGTGGCCTTGTAGTGCAGAATGAGGAGAGCGCGACGTCACCGTGAAGGGTAGCATGCGATGGTTTCAAGGAACATCAGCATCACAGCATTGGATTCTGTGCATCAGGATCGAGGTCATTGTTGCCAGAAGGAGGGTGCATCGGGAGAATATCCAGCTCGTCTACTTGTGGAGTCGGGTGCATGACTACCAGCTGGTCCTGGGGAATGTCTGCGGCAGCTGCTGCAAGGTTGGTGATAGATTTGCTCTTTACACACTGAAAGTCTACATGCCGACTCTTTCCTTCTTCCTTCTCCCAAGACATTCGAATAAAGGGTCTTTGGACATAGTTGTAAATCACTTCTGGGCGGCCCCCAGGCCTTTTCTTTACTTTTTCTTTGTAGGTAGGATAACCTGGAGGAGAGAAAAATTTTAAAAACTGAGGATACACACACACACACACACACACACACACCCCTGTACACTTCTCGCCAAAGTTAGCCTACAGAGGGCTTTTCTGCCGTAGTTCCTGAACAAATTAAAGAAGGGAAACCAATATTCTATCTCCTTAGTCATCAGTTCAACAGCCAGAAACTGAAACCCTACAGATACAATTCATACAGGTTTCTCCCATCCTCTCCACTCAATACACCAACCACCAGAAAAACATTCATAAAGTAAAAGCATGGAGGGGATAGGTCCCAAATACAATGGCATGTAATGGAGTGCATTTTGGGCTCTACCTGTGTGTCCTTAACATTGCTGAACCTTTCCCTTCACAGGATTATCTTGCCTCAAGGCCTGCAATTTATTGCCACATTAGCCTTCTTATTTCCTTAAACCTAAATCTCCTCTTTATATTGCTTTGGGTTTTTTGTTGTTGATGTTGTTGTTAAAAGATAAAGGGCCATAGAGCTCTCCAGCTTCACTGGTTCTAAGTACACTTCTGCACATAGGTCAGCAAAGACACGTCTAGTTTGGGAAACGTTTCAGTCATTTACCAGGAAGGTAATTTTTCCAAAAACATACACTTCTTAGAAGCTATTGTATGTAAGTCCCCTCCTTCTCTCCTACTAGCAAGAATTGCTAGCTTAGACCAGGGACTGGCAAACATTTTCTGTAAAGGGCCGGACAGTAACTATTTCAGGCTCATTGGATTTCAACTACTCATCTATGCCACTACAAAGTGAAATCAGCCACAGAAATATGTAAACGAATGAGCATGCCTATGTTCCAATAAAAAACTTTATGTAAAGAACAGACAATGGAAGGAAAAACAACAGGCAATGGGCAAGACTAAGCTCATGGGCCACAGACCATATCAGAATCAGGAAAAACTAGGGAGAACCTGGGTAGCTCAGTCGATTAAGCATCCAACTCTTGATTTCAGCCCAGGTCATGACCTCATGGTTCAAGAGTTTGAGCCCCAATCGGGGTCCGTGCTGATAGTGCGGGACCTGCTTGTGATTCTCGTCTCCCTCTCTCTCTCTCTCTCTGCCCTTCCCCTGCTCATGCTCGCTCTCTCTTTAGCTAAATAAATAAATAATTTTTTACATCAGAAAAAAATAGAAAAACCTCATACACTAGGGTCTCTATAATTATTGCATAAAGGATGTATGTAGGCATCAATGGTAGCTAGTATATTTAGCCATGTATGGAATGTGCACGTATGTGGCTCAGGGGCAAGCAGGGCTAAAAACCTTTTCAAGACCTTCTGCAGGATGTCGTTTCACACTCCCAATCAATTACCATTTGAAGGGCAGCTCTAGAGTTCAGAAAGGTCTCCAGATCTATTCCTTTGTCCTTGATTCCTCTTGGACTATTAGAAAGTCTTTTAAATTCCTATCTCACCGTATTTCAATCTGTCCTCCACACAAAGTCACCACACTGACACAAGTGTAATATTACAGCCTTGCTTAAAAACTACCAATGGTTGGGGCGCCTGGGTGGCTCAGTTGAGCATCCAACTTCGGCTCAGGTCATGATCTCACGGTTCGTGGGTTCGAGCCCCGCATCAGGCTCTGTGCTGACAGCTTGCTCAGAGCCTGCAGCCTGCTTCGGATTCTGTGTCTCGATCTCTCTATGCCTCTCCCCCACTCATGCTCTCTCAAAAATAAATAAATGTTTAAAAAAATAACCCTACCAATGGTTTCCTCATGCTTCAAGGGAAAGTCCATAGTCCTTAGCATAGTATGTAAGGCTTTTTTACAACCTACTTGTCATCAGGCTTCAGCTCAAGTATGTCTGCCTTAGGGAGGCCTTCCTCAACCTCCTAATCTACACTAGCTTCCAGGTGCCTTCTTTCTAGCTTTGAAATCAAACAGCTAAATTCCACTATTTACAAAATGACAGAGAACAACACACACTGGTGAAGCAAATGTATGAGCAATTCCACTGTTTTTAAGCCCAAAGTCTCCTCCCCTTCCTGCAAACACCCTAGTTTTGGTTGTTCTTTCCCTATGTCTCAGCAGCCCATTACTGTCATCTCCAACAGCTCAACTGGTCACTGATCAACACCACTATCAGCATCACAAATATACTGAGAGAGTACTATGAGCAAGGCCCTGTTTTAAGTGGTTTTCCTGTATTGGTTCACTCTATCCTCATAATAGCCCTATAAAGTACTTATTAATGCTCCCATTTTAGATGAAGAAGCTGAGGCAAAGAGAAGTCAAGCACCCTGGCCAAGGTCATACAACTATTAAGTCATAGGATTTAAACACACAAGCAGTGTGGCTCTAGAACCTTTAATCTTTACACTTTGCCATATTATGCCAAGGGAAATACTTTGTTCTTAGAAAGGGCACTTAAAAGTATCTGACATGACATCTGGAAAAATCTATTTAAATCACAAAGTAAAAGCATCTAAAAATGTACACATTTAAGAAGATGAAATAAGTTTGAAATTTGTATTTAATGTGAAAATAAGTTAACTATTATTATACCTTAAGAACCAGTAAGTTACTAATATGCTTTTACATCCATTTTCAGAAAGTGGTTTTTAGTTCTGTTCGGCTTTGAGGAGCTCCAATGATCACGACTGGGCAAAGAGCTCTGCCAATCTTATGGGAACATGTACATGTGTGCCCAAACATACTATATGGGCTCAGTCAAAAATCATCAAGGTGACCTATGGCAGGAAAGATAAATTCATCTCTCTATATTGTTAGGGGATCTTACGGAATAAATAATTTCTAATGGCTATCTTCTCCGATAAAGGAAGCTAACATTTGTTATTTATAGGTCTACTGCATGAGCATTCATCTAGTAATCACTTGAGTTCTTCTCAAAGTATGTATTTCTCAAACTATACTCCAAATTGGATTCAATTTTTAGCCTTTTTTTTTTTTTTAAAGAAAATTAATAGAAAATAATGAAAATGTCTTACCTTCTATTCCCAATCTAATCTTCTTAAGACCTCTTTCCTTCAAAACTGATTTGGCCACATCTCTGTTTTCAATGTACTTGAAAAATCTATATAATTTTGTGCTATAAATAACTGGAAACAAAAAAAAAAAAAACCAAAAATATTTTCTTAATAAAAATCAAAGTACTTGGAGATGAACTTAAAATTATCTCCATCTTCAAAGGGGCCTGACAACCCTATAAGCCCAAATCATGGATGCAGTGATGCGGAAGGGTGACTAGCCAACATAACAGGACAATTCAGTACAGTTAATGAATAAGCAAATGTCTACTTAAGTTGAAACCAGAAAAGCTTTAATAACCAATCAGGTAACCCAATCCATAGGAAGAATCTCCTTCTGAAAGATTTATCATATACAAACTTACTAGAATGGGATCTGCCCCAATTTCTTCAAATAAGAGAACTAAAAGATAGCAATGTCACATCATTATCAAGCAGCCCAACTCAAGGACTTTGCTGTAATGCCTATAAGGCCTTGTCTGGAAGGGGGAAAACTGCCTCATCATAAACTATAAAATGGATACATCTTATATTTCACGGATTGAGCAACTATTAATAATTCCCCAAAAAGGCAAAAAGACCCTCCCCACAAACTGTTTCCAATTCAGGCGAACAGCCCCATTTACTACTGATGTTAAAAAATGGCAGATTCGAGCATGTTCTGCCTAGGTTAGTCTGTTTAGAGCAAACTGGCTTTGCAAAGGACAGACATTCCACTGACAACATGTTGAGTCTTCCAAATGTGCTGGGAACTTCAGGGAGTTAGAGTGATGGACCTTCCTCGCCTTCTCTCTTTCAGGTGGAGTTATCTCCCTTAAAAGGTGAACTGCAAAGGTTTTTTCAAAAAAAGAAAAACACACTCACAAACCAAACATGCTGGTTTAAGAGCCAATAAAAGGAAAATATGTATATAGATGCTACTCATGGGGTAAATTTGTGATTTACATCCTTAAGATTACTGGTATTTTAAAACAAAAATTTGCTGACATCTCAGAATGAATGGTGTATGTCACATTTAGGAAAATCACGCTGAAGAGGCTGTGTTTCCTCAAATCAATCTTCTTTAGTTTGGAACATCTTAGCACAAAATGAAATATATTTAAGCAAATTAAGTAAAAATGTTTTCAGTCCTCTTTAAGCTTCCAAGCTGAAGATGAAAAACATGAAAACAAACCAAAGAACACGGACATGGAAAGTTCAACAACTCAGAGGGAAAAGCCAGGTCAACCATAGTTCTTCTATCACTATCATGCCATTTCTATGTTCTATAGCTGGCTCTATACTTTCTAGTATATCTCTTTTAATCTTTGTTAGCCTTTCATTTTTCCTGTGTTTTGCTCAACTTGTTATTCCACATATTATTACAGAAAACTGTCAGAAAACAAGCTAGGAATGAGGAAACACAACAGAAATGGCTGTTACTCCAACTGTCCAGAGAAGAATCACAACACTAAGTGTATCATGCAAAGGGAGCATCTCAATGTAAACTCTGAAAAGAGCTTCTATAACTTATGTTAAAATAATCTTTTCAATATCTTCAAAAAGAATACCACTTGGGGACTGTTTTGTTTTTAGACAAGGATAAGTAAAACGAAAAAATCAGAGACTAAGGCATTCTGTAAGTTTCTATATTCCTGTATTTTTCACTTAAACCCTAATCTTTACCAAGTCAACATAGACTGGAGTACAGAACAAGGTGCTGGGTTCTTTTATCTAGTTCCTCAAATCATTCTTTTAGCTCTATCTTCTCTAACCTATAAAACTGTTCAAAAATATTATACTGGGTTCATCAAGAAAAGTAATATAAATTTTCTAACAAAAAAATCAAAAGGCTCATATCAGGGAAAGTTTAAAAGTCTATTAAGGAAAAAGTCATTGTTAATGCTCAAGATAATAAGCTGTTTTGGTCAGAAATACCTAACTATAGTTCCACAAAGCTTTCTGAAGGATCATTATATCCTCCAGAACACATATATGATACTAAAAAGGGAATATCTTAGAACTTAAAATCACCCTAGGAATCAATGAGTTGAAGCTTCTCATTTTATATATGAATAAAAATTAATCTAAAAAAATCAGCTGATTTTTTATAATCTACTAACTCCAAGATCTACTTCTGTAGAAGGCTTCTTTCTAAATGCAAAGAAAAAAAAATCCATCAAGATCCAGATACTCAATAAAGAGCAAACCATTTCTGTGCATGACAGGCATTTTGTAAAGGGCCACAGAGTAAATACTTTGGGCTTTGCGAGCCATGCGGTCTCTGTTGCAACTACTCAACTCTGCCACTGTAGCACAAAAGCAGCAAAAGACAATACATAAAACTATTCATAAAAACAGGCAATAGGCTGGATTTTGGCCCACAGCCCATGGTTTGATGACCTGGTGTAGGTTAAGAATTCAATGTACTTTCTTTATAAAAACTGTCCTTTGATCAGTATTATAAGATACAGAGAGAATCTATGATGACTCAAGAGAGAGAAAACATGCCACAACACTTACTTTGTGAATACTCTTCTCCCATCTGTGGTGGATACTCTTCATCCCAATCAACGACATCATCATCTGTAAGCACTACTATGTGGCATTCTCGCTCCCCACTCTGGGCACTAGCTACCATGAGAGGCAGGATCATTTCTTCCAGATAAAATTCAAACTGTCTACGAGCACCATCATTTGATAACTCATGCATTAGGGCACCTGAAACGAAACCCACAAAAATACCTTGATTTTTTTGATGACTGATGAGTAAAAGAAGAGCAGAAGGAATCAAATACACACACACAACATCCAACCCTACAGACAAAATAATAGTGGTTATTATTTTGTCAAAACTTTTCCTAGGGGCCCTCTGGGTGGCTCATTTGGTTAAGTATCCGACTTCAGCTCAGGTCAGGATCTCACAGTTTGTGGGTTTAAAGCCCTGCACCGGGCTCTGTGCTGATAGCTCAGGGACTGCAGCCTGCTTTGGATTCAGTGTGTCCCTCTCTCTCTGCCCCTCCCCTGCTTGTGCTCTGTCTCTCTCTCGCTCTCAAAAATAAACAAACATTAAAAAAAAACTTGGGGGGCGCTTGAGTGGCTCAGTCGGTTAAGCGTCCAACTTGGGCTCAGGTTATGATCTCACAGTTCGTGAGTTTGAGCTCCACATTGGGCTCTGTGCTGACAGCTTCGGATTCTGTGTCCCCCCTCTCTCTCTGCCCCTCCCCTAGTCACACTCTGTCTTTCTCTCAAAAATAAATATTAAAAAAAAAAAAAAATCCTAGGAAGAGATGTTATGGAACTAACTGTAGGATCTTACAGCAAGAAGGGCCAATTAAAAGTATCTAACACAAGCTCCATTTTATACTTCATAAGTGATCTGCCCAAGGTTATAAAACTAATTTGCAAAATTAGAATTAAATCCCCCAACCCCTCCCTAGCCCAGGGTAGTTTTTACTATATCATGTTGTCTTCTATCGATATACGCAATTGTATCTTAGGGTATATCTTAAGGATCTTTTCAGATTGTCCATATGAACTAAAATAGCTCCCACATTCCATCTCCCATGTTTTCTTTCTCAGAAAATTATTCACAAACATTAATATTTCAGTGTAGGCAAAGAAGTGAATTGATTTTGGGATAAGGAAAGCAAAAGGCTAAGTACAGATGTAACGAATAACTTCAATTTCCCAAATACACAGCCACAAACTCACCTGCATTGACCTAATTTTTTTTGTTTTTCTATGTCAATGGCAATGTCCTATCTCCTATTTAAGGCACTACTAATTCAGAACTACTGAGAGGCTTAGAGAAGGAATTAGAACTGAATCTAATCTATAGTCTCCAGAGGGAGGGCTTTTTCCCCCCAAACCATGTTGCTAATTATGTAATAGTTATTAATAATATATAATGATATAACAAATGATTAAATAAAATGTTATTATTTAGCCATGCCTCTCTCTAGGCTGGCTACTTCCCATTATGGATTTTTTTTTTTGAATTCCCTCTATAACCAAACTGCAAGGTATATAGGAAGGCTACTTCCCATTATCATTTCTTTTTAATTCCCTTTATCGTCAAACTCCTAGATATATCAACACATTGATTTTCCTTTAACTTCTGAACCAATTCCAATCTGGCTTCTACACTCAGTACTCCTCAAAACTGCTCTCAATATAGATTCCAAATGACCTGTAGATTGGTAAAAATAATGAACATCTTTAGATCATGTTTTTATTTGAATTCTCGGTGGAATCTCTTATGAGGACCATCACCCTCTTCTTCTTAAAACACTCTCTTTCCTAAGACTCTCCAAAGCCACTATCCCTGTTTTTCTTTCTCCTCTGGATGTTCTTCAATCATCTTTACCAGCTCTTTCTCCTCTAGCTGTTCATTAAATACTGATGTTTCTCAGGACAACTGTCTTTTCTTCTCCTACCTTATGCTGATAATTCCCAAATTTATTCTACTAATTCTCATCTTCTATATTCTAGATGCATTATATTCAACTGCTTTCTGAAAATCTTTACTGGGATGCCACCTCACAAGTACCTCAAACTCAATATATTCAAAAGCGAATTTAATCATATCTGCTTCTCCCTGCACTGTTTTCTAAAACTGGCCACATCATCCCATTCATTTCTCAGAATCATCTCAGAAGAGTGCCGGGCATATAATAGGTACTTAAATATTTGTAGAATAAATAAGTGAATCCCTGATTCCTCTTTCATATCCTAACTCAATTATTCCCCAAGGCTTATCAAGTCTACCTCTTAAATACACCTTGAATGGTGTCATTTCCTTCTCTGGAATACACTAACTAAAGATAACTGCAACATCTCTTATGCCTCATGCTTTTTTGCAGTGGGACCTTGACATCTCTTCCCAGGAGGTGGAGTCTAACCCTCCCCTTTAATGTAGGCTGGTTATACTGACTTGCTTTAACCAGGGGAGCATTGCAGAGGTGACAGTGTAGGATTTGTGGTTTTGCTTCGGTCTTGGGGAATGCTCACTTTCCAAATGCTTCCCAACCTAACCTACTGTGCAGGTTTGGAGAAGTCCAAGATGTATGAAGAGGCCACGTGTAGGTACCCTGTTTGACAGTCCTAGCTGAACTCAGTCTTTGAGTCATCTGAGTGCAGGCAGCAGACATGTGAGTGAAGAAGCTTGCAGCCTTCTACGTCACCTCAGCCCTTCAATTATTCATAAGATGAGGACTCAGACATTGTGAAGCAGACAAAAGCCACCTCTACTTGGTCTGAGTTCTTGACCCACAGAATAAAAATGATTGTACTTTATGCTATGTCTGGAATGGTCTGTTGCAGAACAATAATTAACCCGAACACACTCCATCCCCAATGCCCACCCCCAAGTCCAAGCCATCCTTAACTCACCAAACTACTATAAAACCTAATCACATTCCCCCAACGTTTGCTTTGGGCCCTGTGTAATTCATCTTCCTCTCAGCAGCCAAATTATGCATCTCCTCTAGTTTGAATCTGTCACGGCTTATACTATCCTTAGAATAAAAGTCCCAGATCCTCAACTTGGTTCATAAAGGTCTGTTACATGAAAAAGGAGATCACACATCAATGTGTACCGTCCTTTAAAAAAATATTTTCTTTAAACACTACATATAGCCCACGTACGTCTTACATATGTATGTATGTATGTATATATATATATATATATATATATATATATATATATATCCCCTACATATAAATTTAGCCCGTATTTCTCTCCTGAACTGTAAACATGTATACCCAATGCCCACTAAGCATTTCCACTTGGATGTCTAGTAAGGGTTTCAAATTTAACATGTCCCAAATCAAGCTTCTAAATTTCTGCTCCCTATGACGTCTCCCCCATCTCACTTAATGGCAACTCCACATTTCAAGTTAAAGTTCTCTTCTGGGGCGCCTGGGTGGCTCAGTTGGTTAAGCGTCTGGCTCTTGACTTTGACTCCAGTCATGATCTCACGGTTCGTGAATTCAAGCCCCACATCAGGCTCTGTGCTGGCAGTATGGAGCCTCCTTGGGATTCTCTCTCTCTCCTTTCCCCCCTACACTCTCTCTGCCCCTCCCCTGCTCACATGCTCTGTCTCTCTCTCAAAAAAAGAAAAAAAAGTCCTCTTCTCTCTTCCCCACCCCATATTCCGTTAGCTAGCAAATCCCACAACTCTACCATCTAACATGTCCAGAATTAGATCACCTCCCACTGCTTCCACCCTGATTTAAGCCACCACTCTTACTTGAATTATGGCAACAGCGTCCTAATTATCTCTTTGCTTTTACCTTATTTCTCCTTGCAGTCCATTTCCAACACACCAGCAAAGAGTAATCCTTTTAAGCCACAGTCAGATCAGGACTACAGCACCACACAACTCTACATGAAATTCTGTGTGACCAGTGCCCCGTGAAATGGTACAACACGGCAACCTCACAGATCATATCACTCCTCTGTTCAAAACCCTCCAATGGCTTCCCATCTCACTCAGAATAAAAGCCAAAAGATAAAGGCCCTACATGACCTAGGTCCCCGCCTAACCTCATCTCCTACTACGAACACTCTAACTTCCTTTACTCCAACTCTTTGCTGCTCTCAAATATGCCAGGCAAGCTGCCTCAACGGTTGCACTCATTGTTAACCTCTGCCTGAAATTAAATTTTCCTTTCCAAGTAAGGCTTCTCTGGCTATTCTATGTCCCTTCCTTACTTCTTCCCCCTCCTCAGCACCTATCACTAACATACCATATGTTACTTGTTTACCTGGTTTATTGTGTATCTTTCCCCAAAAAGTATTAAGTTCCATTAGAACAGGAAGTTTTGCCTGGTTTGTTCATGCTGTATCCCCAGAACTCAGAAGAGAATGGTACAGAATGAACAGTCACCAGATAGTTGTCCAGTTAATAAATTTTGTTTTCTCCCTACTCCTCTGGCCTTATTTCTCACCTCTCACACTCCATCCCTCCACTCTCACCACACTTCCCTTCTTTCAGTTCGTTAGGTGTGTCATATTCCTTCCAACCTGACAGCCCCTGCAAACACCTTTTCTGCTGCCTGCAACAGCATCTTATCCTCTTCACCACCCCTTTAGGTGTTAGCTTTAATGTCAAGGAGATGATCTGCCATAGTCCCTTTACCACACACTTCTCATAGCATCTCATTTCTTCACTGCATTTTTCACAGCTTTTTATTACTTGTCGAATGCCTGTCTTCCCCGCTAGACTGTAAATGCCATAAAGGCAGGGACAATGTCTTATCCATCACTTCATATTTATATTTATACTCATTCATATTTATTCTCACTCATACTACATGCATGGAACTCCTAGAAAGCTTGATTAAGAAGGGAGGGGATTATAAGTTAAGCAGTAAACTAGAAACGCATAGCTGATACTTAAGAATTAAAGAATTGGAGGGGCGCCTGGGTGGCTTGGTCGGTTAAGCGTCCGACTTCGGCTCAGGTCATGATCTCACGGTCCGTGAGTTTGAGCCCTGCGTCGGGCTCTGTGCTGACAGCTCAGAGCCTGGAGCCTGTTTCTGATTCTGTGTCTCCCTCTCTCTCTGCCCCTCCCCTGTTCATGCTCTGTCTCTGTCTCAAAAACAAACGTTAAAAAAAAAAAAATTAAAAAAAAAAAACAATTAAAGAATTGGAAATCCACGCTGCATAGGAAATGTCTGAAGCCATAATGATGAATGGCATCACTTAGAATAAATGTACAGATTCTGCGAGAGAGAAGGTAGCTTAAGACAGAATGCTTGGGAATTACCACATTCAAGAGATATAGGAACAGGGAGCAAGTGAGAGAATAATAAACAGAAGACCTGAAAGAAGGATGTAAAAGAGCCAAAGGAAGAAAGAGTCTAGAAGAAAGGAGTGACTTAACAGTGAAACCTAAAGACAGGGATACCACCCAGAATTATCACTACATTTTGAAACAGCGTTCAAAATATTCTAGACAATTAAATAAGATATCTATCTATCTAGAGAGGGAGGGTGGGAGGAAGGAAGAGTGAGTGTTATTTAGGGGCACTTAGGTGACTCAGTTGGTTAAGCATCCAACTCTTGATTTTGACTCAGGTCGTGATCTCATGGTTCGTGAGCTTGAGCCCCACATTGAGCTCTGCACTCCCTCTCGCTGTCCCTCCCTGACACTCATTATTTCTCAAAATAAATACATATTTAAACAAGAATAAAAAAAAAATAAAGTGTTATTTACAAGAGTCAATTATCCACCAAGAATATATAAGAACCAGTGAAAAACTATTAGAAATAAAGAGAATCCTGTTAGATGGCTAAATAAATACAAATGTACAAAATTCAGTAGTTTTCTCATATGTTAGCACTTAGAAAATTTAAACATATTTTACACACAACAAAAATACAAAATATCAAAAAATAAAGAGCAGAAATAAAAATAAAACTTGGGGCCCCTGGGTGGCTCAGTCAGTTAAGTGTCTCACTTCAGCTCAAGTCATGATCTCGCGGTTTGTGGGTTCGAGCCTGGGTCAGGCTCTGTGCTGACAGCTAACAGCCTGGAGCCTGCTTCGGATTCTGTGTTTCCCTCTCTGCCCCTCCCCCGCTTGTGCTCACGCATGCACTCGCTCTCTCTCTCAAAAATAAATAAAATGTAAAAAAAATTTTTTTTAAAGAAATAAAAATAAAACTTAGTAAACAGCAGTTGGAGGAGACGGTACAGTAAATATGTTAATTCTTCTAAAACATTAACTTCAAATAATTCCAATGAAAAACTTAAAATATTTTATTTTTTGATTGTTTTTAATGCTTATTTTTGAGACAGAGTGCAAGCAGAGGAGGGGCAAAGACAGAAGGGCGAACACAGAATCCGAAGCAGGCTCCAGGCTGTGAGCTGTCAGCACAGAGCCTGATGCTGCAAGATGGTGACCTGAGCCAAAGTTGGACGCTTAACAGACTGAGCCACCCAGGCGTCCCTTCACTTAAAATATTTTAAATAATTGTTTTTTAATATCTACAACAGACATAGGTCAGATTTGAGCCTGAGGCTGAAGATTACATAGAGAGGAAAAGACTAATGGTACTAGAGAAGATGACAAGAATTGGAATAGGGTCCTAAAAAATGCATGAGGGATAAAATAATTTACTTATTGAGTCCTTCCTTACCATGTGTCAGGCACTATGGACACAAAGCTGGAAAGGTACAGTCCCTACCCTCAAGTTCAAACTGGTTTAATGCTACAAACTAAAAAAAATAGAGCAAGACAGAGAGAGAGAAAGAACACACAGTCACTCTTGTCATTTCAGTGTCTCTCTGTTTCCATGACTCCATAAGCAGGCGCTACCTCTGATCTCCCTTTCTCAATAGCTTTGGTAGAACTTTAGTTTTTTAGTCTTTGGTTGCAGTCCCATTGTGTCCTACCTACAGTGTCTTTCTTCTTGGGCCCTCTGAACTGGTGCTTTATTCAAACTTTAAATTTCATTTTCCATACCACTTTTACCCACGGATACTATATTTTCATTTCTTTTAGCCCTGGGCTTTCATTCCTGAGTTCAGCTGTGGTTTTCAAACCCTTATGTGGATTACAGTGTTTGCCTGAGAAGATGGACACTGAAAAAATTTACAGCATAGTTGGGGAGCTACTATTTGCCATAGAGTTCCTTCACTATATGGTAAGTTCTATGACAGAAGATTAAGAAGTCAGTTCCTTCCTGTACTAATCTGAACATACAATTCCTTCTGTCTGGAACATACTTTCTTTTCCCCTTCCTCCAGAAAGTTTCCTTAAGCCTCCACTCCTGAGTTAGGTATGGCTCCTATATTCTCATTTAGTACTCTATTATTTCTCTAACACCATAATATAATTTACTTGTCTGTCTTCCCCACAATACTACAAGCATCATGAAAGCAGGGACTCTGTCTTTTTTTGTTGCCTTTCACATACCTAATATTTGGTATAAACTATGTGTTCAATAAAAATGCAGAAAATGACAGATAAGCCATTAAATAAGTTATTATTAAAACATATTTGCTAATATAATTATTCACAATATACTTCCATGTAAAAATACTACAAAATAGCATGTACAATATGATACAATACTTTTTAAATTTACTTTTATTTCCTAATTTTGCTATCTTTTTTAAAAGGAAACCTTTATCTAATACTATGTGTCAAGCACTATTCATTTCATCTTCACAACAACCCTGTGAAATAAGTAATATTATTGTCTCCATTTTAAGATGAGGGAACTAAGAAACAAAGTCTTAAATAACTTGTCCAAAAACCCCAGTACTCTCTATTCAATAAACATTTAGTACTTGTATGGTTTTAAGTTAAGAGAGACAGACATGTTAGTGTAAAGTGCCATTCCAGTATACAGTTAAGACACATCTTAGCAGGAAAAAATTCAGTTTTGACTCCAGCCTACACCTACACTATCCTTTTATGTTTTTAAAAGGCCATTTTGTCTCTTCAAATTCTGTATAGTTTTAATAAAGTCTATGAGAATCTCTACATTTTAAAAACCGTGTATTACAAATACTCTAGAAACAGTTACAAATAATTATTTAAAAGCCAAAAGTCTAGAAAAACCATATGGCATGTATTTTACATAAAGACTCTTACCTTTAATTCCATAACAAATAAATGAGACTTAACAGTGATGACAAGGTCTATGTCCAAAGGATTACAAAACCAAATCCACATCAATTTTTTATCTGACAGTCACCAAAATTCAACATCTAATTATATGAAATGAAATTAAAAATGGTCCCATGAATAAAAAACACAAGACATGAACTAAAAAATCTGTAATAATGCTCATGGTTTAGTAAAAACATTTTTCAAGATGTGAAAACACAGAAACTTTGCTTGTGTTTACACATGTATGCTCTACCTGTCCAGCTATCTGACTTTAAACTTTTAAATATCATTTCTAGAGAAATGGACTCAGAGGTGGACCAGCCACTTTGTCTCAACCTACTGATATTTTTATGGAGACTTTTTAAAGAATTTTTGGCAATAATAAAGTGGTACTTAGGGAAAAACTTAATAAGGCCACATATTTTCTTTTTTTTTTTAATTTTTTTTTTCAATGTTTATTTATTTTTTGGGACAGAGAGAGACAGAGCATGAACGGGGGAGGGGCAGAGAGAGAGGGAGACACAGAATCAGAAGCAGGCTCCAGGCTCCGAGCCATCAGCCCAGAGCCCGACGCGGGGCTCGAACTCCCGGACCGCGAGATCGTGACCTGGCTGAAGTCGGACGCTTAACCGACTGTGCCACCCAGGCGCCCCAAGGCCACATATTTTCAATGAGAGCTTAACTAAGTATGAAAAAAAAATAGCCATATTGAAGCATACAGTAGGTGCCTTAAATTTCTAAATAATATTTCCATTCCCAGTTTCTAACACACTAAACTTTTGAGAAGGTATGCCAAGCTAGTGTTGAGTTTAGGTTAATCAGGTAAAGATAACCATAAGGCTGAGATTAACAAGGTTATAACCATGCATAGGAAACTTAAGTGGCTTTCCACCATATATAGGATAAAAATATAAGAACATGAGTTTGGATTTAAAGACTTTCCATAAAGTGGTTCATTTATTTATTCCCATCTCCTTCTGGTACTGATACAAAGTCTCTGCTCCAACTAGGTTGTTTTCAAAATATATCTTTTGCATCTTTATTCCAAAAATTTCAACATTAGAGTCACCTCTCTACTCTTTCTAAGTTATTCCTATTTACTCTTTACTACCTGCTTCTTCTGAACTCTTTCTCAATCCTTCTAGCCCACGATAACCTCTCCTGAACTTCTTCAACCACTTAACATCCAAGTCAACATCTGAAAATTCTCCTATTCTATTTTAACCTTTCTGTGTATTATCACCCTTCCTCACCCCACCCCAGGCATGGCATAACAATGAGAGCGAGGGATGTTGTGGAGGTAGTGAGGGGAAAATATCAAAAAGTTAGGATTTCCAAAGTTCTAGACTCTGCTCTGAGGCTGTTTGATGTTCTCAAAGTGACTTGGCCCTTGTTATGAACTGAGGGTTAAGTATCCAGTTTAAGATCTGTAATGACAAATACTGTTTTTGAGAATTATTTTTATCTTCCACAGGGGCTTAAGACATTATTTCACATGCAAAGTACAAATATAGTTAAATTTTTGGTTGATGTGATCTGAAGAGTGAGGCCAAATACCGTACTTGACCAAAGCCAGGGTTCCCAAGCTGGAAGATAAAGAGTTGCAACAAAAGACAGAGACAGGGATCAAGGAGGAAATCTGGGAGAGTCTATCAAATAATAAATACATGCATACATAAATATATACATAAAATTTCTAAAAAGTTTTGGAAAATTGCACAAGATCTTGTAAAGATCTCTGTAGACTTCCACAAATCATCCTGATGGTATTAGAATGCTTTATAATCCAATTAAATATTTGATGCCTAGGTAAATAGCACTATTTCAGGCTTTTCATTCCAACACTGTAACTCTACAAACCACTTACACAAAAAACATCATACTTACTGAGATCTCTACATTTAATAGTACTATATTCAAAAGAAATACAAAGATAGTCGCATGCTTCTCTCAGTTCAGGAATAGATATGCCATCAGGACAACGGATTATTCCTGTTTTGTAGTAATCCTACAAAAAAAGTAAAGAATGCATAAAACATCTAGAGCACAAGGTGTCCAAAACCTTTTTATTAAAATTAAGCTGGCAGCATTTTCAAAAACAGTGGAGCTCTGAGATTTCTGAACTGTGGAATTTTAAAGTTAGATGGGACCTCAGTTCATCTAACCACTTCTTCATTTTACCAATATGAAAACCTGGGTTCACTGACTCACCCAGTCATATGATTATTTAATAGCAGAGGAAAGATTAGAACCCAGGTCTCCCCATTAATGATGCATTTCTTCTCTCTACTGTATCATGCCAATTCACATGTATTTTCCCCTCTGCAAGTTATTTTTCTATATAACTATCATCAAATTTTTAAACTTTTTTTAAAAAAGAAAGGTAAGGGGCACCTGGGTGGCTCAGTTGGTTAAGTATCTGACTTCAGCTCAGGTAATGATCTCATGGTTTGTGAGTTCAAGCTCTGCATCAGACTCTGCACTATCAGTGCAGATTCTCTCTCTGTCTCCCTCCCCTCTCCCTCTTTCCCAAAATAAATAAACTGAAAAAAAAGAAAGTTAAGTGACAGATTTTAAGTTACCTTCAATATTACCGAGAAAATTGAGCAAAATTTATGGTTCTTAATAAAGAACTTAAAAGTCATATCCAAATATTAAAATATATAAACAGAATGCACAGATAGTCTTCCAAATACTATTCTTTGGTGTGTCCAATTTTATGATGAACAATCAATAGCCCTCATTTCTAAAATCTACTTGAAAAGTTAAGGGTTAGCCCCCAAACTTCTTGTCACCTCTACTTGGAGGGTCAAGTGGAATTGTAAGCACTTATCCCCCAAATCAAGATCTTCCCCACCCCTCCATCAAGCTTCCTTGTGGTTCTGAGCCACAATAACGCACTTAATAAAGCTGCTACACCAGTGGAAGCAAGATGTCTTCTGGTACTTGTCCAAGTACTAACAACCCAATCAAGATCAATTTCTTTTCCTATCTTGTACCTCAGGATCCCCCTGCCTACTTTCCCTAAAATTATTTCAGGAAACCGTATTTTCAGACCGTGGCATAAACTGTCACACACTATAAATCAAATCTTTATCACTAATTTGAAATTATAAGAAGGGACTCTAATACTAATTCAAATATTCATCAAAATAAAAGGTGAAAATCTCAAAACAAGGTTTAAAATGAAGATGCTAACAACTACATTTTGGAGATGACTTTTACATGTTCATAACTGTCCACAGTGCCAGCTATGTGCAATAAAATATTAAAATTCATATAGTCTCATTCATTCTCAGGTAGCAAAAAATGATCAACTTATTGTATTTAAGAGAATTAGGAAGGGAGGAGTAATATGACTCCAGAAGTATTATCACTAAACCCTTGAAAGAACTGCCTATTTATACCTAAGAGGTAAATCATCCCCTGGCCTATCTGTGCAAAAGTCATAAAATTCATTTATTTGTGTCGTATTACCTTTATGCACTAAAATAAAAATAAATGAAATGGTATTTTTAAAACAATATTAACAATATTATTAATAATTATTAATTATATTAATATAATATCAATTGTATCAATCATATATTATATAAAATATAATATAAAATATTAATTATATTATAATATAATGTTAATTATATAATTATTAATAATTATTAATATCAGTATTATTTAAAACAATATTCTGCATACAGATATACAAATTGAACTCTGCTTCCAGTCCAAGTACCTGCCAAAAAGAGGTTATGTGATTTAGCAAATACATGTAAGAAACAAGCACTCACCAGAATAGCTCGAAACACAGTGGAGCCAATTCCCTCTGCCACTTCATACTCTCCCTTCTCATTGGGACGTGTAAAATTATGTTCTCTGCCAGATCCAAACATCCTATGATGATAAATAATTGAGAAATGTAACAAACACGATACTTCCTTCAGAGGGAAAATTTATTTCATGTACATAAGTAAAAAGGAATTAAAATTTATCAGATTAGTTCAAAACATTCTTTATTTTTATTTTTGACAGAGAAAGAGAAAGCAAGCACACAAGCAGGGAAGGGGGGGGAGAGAGAGAGAGAGAGAGAGAGAGAGAGAAAGAGAATCCCAATCAGACTCCATGCTGTCAACACAGAGCCCTGATGCGGGGCTTGATCCCACAAACTGTAAGATCATGACCTGAGCTGAAACAAAGAGTTGGACACTTAACCAACTGAGACATTGAGGTTGAGGTGCCCCTACCTCAAAAATTCTTATCAGCAATTTATTCTGGCAAATATAACAAATGAAGAAATAGTAAAAGCACTTCCTTTCTGATGGGAGGGAACAAGAGTATAGATTCCCTATAAGCAAACAAAATCAAATGATAAAATTCTGAAGCTAAAGAACTTTCCAGCTCCTGCTTCTCAGGGGGAAAAAAAATCCATCAATCAATCAGTCTAAGGGGAAAGATGATTTTTATACTAATCTTACCAGAAAGAAAAAGAAAAAGGAAACCATGTTATCTGTGCCTTCTCCTTAAGACTGCTGCCTTCTTCACTGCAAAGTTAATGCTGTAGTGCAGCACATACAGGAAAAAGGCAGATGAGGCTGTTTCACTTTTCATAATTTTAACTATAAATCTAAGAAATATCACTCGGAATTCTTTCACTTGCATCTTAGAACTGAAAAAAACAGCAATCAAATGCTCAGGTAGAGAGGAAGGAAGAAGTTAAGAGATGAATGAAAAGTTTAAACAAATGAGTAAAAAGCTCTTAACATTAATTTTTACATAAGAAAATACCAATTTGTATTTTTTCAAGTAATACTCTTGGCCCTTTAACAGTAACTATTTTGACAAGAGGCAACTTGCAGAATATGTTCTTTGAAATTTTCCCAAGAAAATTTAAAAATTGTGATTAAAGGAAGTTGAACCTCAGAATTCCATGATACCATTGTTCCTAAAGTAAACATGGCTGAGTATTCCACTCAACAACTTCCCAATTAAAATGGTTTCCTCTTTTATTATAACACAGAAATCTATGAAAAACAAAGCTTTTTCATTTCAAAGTTTCCAAAAGAATGCCAACTGCTTTTTACAGTTCCCATGAATATTAATTTTCATTAATTACTCAACTGACGTTGGAAAAGATGACTTCACTGATTTAAAAAAAAAAAAGACAACAGTCTTTCAGGAATCAAATGTCATGTAATTTTCTCAAATACTTGAAATAAAAACAAACCTATTTTTTAAGTAATCTCTAAACCCAATGTGGGGCTTGAACTTATAACACCGAGATCCCATGCTCTATAGCCTAAGCCAGCCAGGTGTCCCTTAAATACTTGAATTTTTTTTTTACAAAAGCAGAACACAGATCAATCTGGATACACACACACACATATGCGTGCACACACATATGTTGTTGGGCTTTGTTTTTTCTTTTTTTAAATGTAGCATAACAAATGAAACAAAATTTCAAATATCTACTTTTTAAGTGTGTTTCTTTAAAATTTAGGTAAATATAAAAAGTATTAATAGTGTCAAGTCATCCTCCTGACACCTCCCATCAATAATATCCCTTTGTGGGGTGCCTGGGTGGCTCAGTCGGTTAAGCAGCCGACTTCGGCTCAGGTCATGATCTCGTGGTCCGTGAGTTCCAGCCCCGCGTCGGGCTCTGTGCTGACAGCTCAGAGCCTGGCGCCTGTTTCAGATTCTGTGTCTCCCTCTCTCTGACCCTCCCCTGTTCATGCTCTGTCTCTCCCTGTCTCAAAAATAAATAAAACATTAAAAAAAAGTTAAAAAAAATAATACCCCTTTGTGCTGCTAAAAATACATAAAAGCCATAATTATTTTTTTCCTGAGAGATAGAAAGTCTAATTGCCAATGTTAAAAGGAGCATTTATTTGAAAATGTAGTGTCATACGTTAGCTTTTATTCTGTACGCAGAGATACTAAGAAATCACACATACACATAGACACATTCTAAATAGTTGGTTCCTCATATGCGACCTAGAAAAAAAAACAAGTTTTTTCTACATGTTAACTTCTATTCCATTTATAGGCTCTTTCTTTTTATACTTGAGTGAATAGAAAAAGATACTAATTTTACAATGAAAAGGTATTTGATCCTAGTTTAGGACACGTTGAAAAATCAAGTGTATATTGACTGTATCATTCTTAAGACTGCAGTTCCCACAACTACAAACTACGTTAATCTTTACTCTGAACCAGCAAAGATTTGAGGATGGCTAGTACCTCTCCTTCATTCTACTACTTGTTAATAATGTTTCTTTTTTTTAAGTATCTACATCAAACTGACAATTTATGCTGACTTTTCAGATAACCAACCTGGTGGGTTTTTTTCTTTAAACAATGCTGATGCCTGCTATATTTGGTAGTTGAATTTGGGAGCCCCCAGGTGAAGAAAGCACATTATTTCTGTTAAATTTATCTTGTCACATACACTTTAAGGTTTTCGGCTGTGCAGATCGTTTGGGACCCTATCTTCATTAACTAATATATGCATTTGTTTTTCCTGCTGATACAGCAAAGATGGTTAGAAATAAAACTAAGTTCAAGAGGCGCCTGGGTGGCTCAGTCGGTTAAGCATCTGACTCTTGGTTTCAGCTCAGGTCATGATCTCATCATTTGTGGGATCGAGCCCCGCATCGGGCTTCACTTCTGCCTGTTTGGGATTCTCTCTCTGCCCCTCCCCACTCACACTCCCTCTCAAAATAAATAAAAAACAAAAATGAACTTAAAAAAAAACTTGAAGTTTAAGACCTGGCTCTACCACTTTCTAGTTGTATTAACTTGAACACTTTATTTAACCTCCAAAGCTCGGTTCATCTGTACAATAGCAATGCTACATTCCAAGAAAGAATTACTATAAAACATAAATAAAATAATGTGAAAGTGCTTTATAATACTACAAAGAATGGCAATAATACAAACCTGCCCAACATTGTATTTGGCTGTGCAGTAAAAATGGATGGGTCTACAACAAATCTAGTGTTATCCACTATCAGTGTTACTCGTTCCGACGTTCTTACATTACGAGCTCCTTCTTTTGCATTTTCATATACAAACACCATCTCCCCAGATGTCTTACAGCTACCATCTGAACTTGACTGACTACTGTTTCTGCTGCTGTTCCCGGCACTGCTACTAGAACCATTTGGAGATGCCTTCTGAGGACGAGGACTGCTTGGACGAGAGGAACTGTGGTCTTTTTCTCGTTCTGAAAGAAAGATGTTTAAAAAAGCTATGCAAATTGTCCTCTAAAAAATTCAAAATCCACATATAGCTTCTAAAAATCCTGATGTAGAAAAGTTGTTTTAAATCACAGTATTTCTCCTTTTTGATTTCAAGTAATATTTCCACAGAACACCATAAATATTATTTCCCAGAAATAAAACCTAAAACCCCAAAATGTTTTCTACATTAATTTTTGTAGATTTCTTTTAAAGATGTACTGATGGCTAATGCTGACCCAGACCAATCAAAATTAAGGTAAATTTTATGATATTATTGTATTTAAAAATATACAGAAACCCAAGAACAGAATAATCTTCCAACTCAAATAACTAAGCAATGAAAGCTAGTAAACGATTAATAAAAATACCAATTTTAACTGTCCTAAATTCTAAAAGTATTAGTACTATTCTGAGAACACAAAGTACAAACTGAGGACTCTCACTATGTTAATGAGAGCATTACCAAACTAGTAATTTATCTCACAAAAGCAAGGTCCCAAAGGAAGGAAAAAAGTCACTAAGGACACAGAAAGTATTTGTATTTTTCAAATGACTTTTAATGTCTCCCAAATAAAATGGCTTCAACAGCTGATGCTATAACTTTTGCTTGAATAAAAGCACTGCCACAAATTTTATAGGACCATATGATTACTATCTATAATTTTAATTAGGTAGGAAATAGTGTTAAAATTCAGAAGATACTCTTTAGCTGTTCCAATATTCTACAAAGGGAAAATTAAAACTAAGATTAGATTCTGTGGTAAATTCCCTTTAGAGGCTAGATAACTAAACTTTAAAGGTGACCTAAAAATGTACCTCCATCTCATCAGATTCATCAGCTTCTGCCAAATTCCTCCATGACTCAGGCTACTTAGAACACTCTGTACAGCTTTACTGATTATATAATTAGGTTGGCTATATCTCCAGAGATATTCTGACACCTCCATTTTATTGCCTGTTTCCAGAATGCTGGTAGCATCCCAAAAGCAAAATTTGCTGAATAAAATCATTTATTACATCCTCCTATTCTCTTCCCAGATACTGAACTTAGCATACAACAACTTATTTATACTTGTGTTGATTTCTGGCTTATCAGTGCTAGTTTGACTTTAAGGACCTACTTTGACATTGATATGATAACTTCTCTGTATAATTAGGCTCTAAGATGAACGATTTTGATTTATAACAATCAAAAACAGGGGTGGTTGGCTCAGTTGGTTAAGCGTCTGACTTCAGCTCAGGTCATTATCTCACAATTTGTGAGTTCAGGGCCCCGCTGACAGCTCAGAGCCTAGAGCCTAGAGCCTGATTTGGATTCTGTCTCTCCCTCTCTCTTTGCCCCTCCCCTGCTCGCACTGTCTCTCTCAAAAATGAATAAGCATTAAAAAAATTTTTTGGAACAATCAAAAACAACCTCAAATATTAAGTCAAGGTATTAAATGTGCCCCTTCCCCGGGGCAAATGAAAATCAGCATGCTCACACTGATTATGTACCTCTGCTTCAGACTGGTGCATGCATTATAGTCACACAATGTATTTACCTCAAGTATAATAATGTTCATTTATAGTAATAAGTAGGAAGAAAAAGACCTGAGCTACTTGTCAAGAAAACAAAACACTTCACACCTTCTTTTTCATCTTCTATTTTTTGAATTAAAAATTCTGTCAAAATTCAAAATAAATTACATGATGGTTATTCTAGCTTTTACTTCCTTTTCTAGCATGATTAACCAAGAATTACTATCAATAGTTTACTACAAATTTAAAAAATAAACCACTGCCATGTATCTCATAAGATAAAAATCAATTTGAAAGATTTTAAAAATCTACTTATAACAGTTTTAAAGCCTTTTTAAAATCACTTCTTTTAGAAGGCTGTCCTAGATTCTTTAAAAAAAAATTCATTTTTAAGTCTCATTTAATAAACTGATCTTTTCATAGCAAGAAGCTAAGTTTAAATAGAAGCAACTGAATAGAAGTTAATTTTACCTTGAAGTACTACGCACAATTCACTGTCATTACTGCTTTAACAAGGTAACTGCATGCTTATAAAAACATCAGGAAGATTAGTGAATTTTACATACCAACATGGTGCTGTCGTGTTGGAGAAGTAACATTTCTAATACAAGGAGTGAGTTGAGATTCCGTTCTTTCATGAGATGAATCTCGCGATCTGTCACTTGACCTTCGTCTATCTCTTGATCGTTCATGTCCCCCACTAGCACCATGTAGACTCATTTTGGTGTGGTCAACAACTCCTTTAGCAACACGTGCGGGAGTACTAATAAGTCAGAAAACAAAATTAACCATAAAAGTAGAACGTAAGATTACAAATGCTTTTAAAGAAAAAAGCAATTAACATAAAACTACTACTATTTTGAAGTGTAAGAATCAAATGCTACTTTACAATTCTGAAATGCAATTTACCTTAAACTTGTAGGTTTTATAAATTCTGAAACACTGTATCTTTAAAGATCATATAATCCAATTCAGTTTTTTTAAGAATGACAAAACTAAAGCCCAGAAATGTTCATTAACTTTTGAGTTAGTATAGTAGTAATAGTAGTCGACACCACCGACATCTCCTAAATATTGTTCAAAGACTTTGCTCTCTTTGATTTGGGGGATGGGGAGGTGGAGCAAGAACACCAGCTTCTGGAACTCTTAAAAAAATGCAGTATGGGACAAAGTAATTGGTTTCCTAGCCAAATAAAATACGTCTACATGCTAACTTTAATCAGCTAATTTTGATTTTGACTAACTCTTCATAATTTTTCAAAATCATTTCTCTGAAAACTTTACTATGCTGTGTAAAGTCACAGAATTGAAAATTTTAAAACATCTTAGGTAATTCTGCTCATGAGAAGTGAATAACTGAGAATGATGATTAATGTGGTTGACAGAATTCAGTAACAAAATTATTTATAAACTTGTATGTACTATGTGCACAATGCTATAAAGAAGCACCCTCAAGGAACTTATGATTTAAGTGTAGCAGTAATACATGAACATGTAGAAATTTAAACAAGAGTTATCTCAAATTTCACACGTAAAATGGCTAAATATATCTCAAATATTTAATAAACAAGTTACAGATAATAAATGCTTTAAGATCTCAGAAGAAGAAGACATCACTATAAAGTTAAACACTGGTGAACCAAGGTGCTGGCAAATAAAATTTTAATAATCAAAATACATTGCAGGTAGGAAAACTGACAGAACAGAGCCAGACCTAATTAATATACTGGAAATTTACCATCTTAGCATATATCATGGTTCATGGTTTAAAAATACTACAGTTTGTTATAAATAAAAATAGAAGAAACTTCACAGCTTTAGAGAAATACAGACTTAGAATCGATTTGTACTTGAATACTTAATTGCTCAACGCTGTTGAATATTACTTAACATTTTGAAACCTTAGCTTCCTCATGTGTAAAATACAGGTTCGATTTACTCTGTAGGCTTAATATAAGGATTAAAAGAAGTATAAGCAAGCTACCAGCAATGTACCTGCACAAAAGAATCACACATTAAATACTAGTTTAGTTATGACCGATGAAGATATTAAAGTTCACTTATGAGATTGCTCAGTCACGAGATATTTAGTAGATATGCTAATAACACTGTAACTCAAGCCTTTTGATTCATTCCAGGGCCCCCTCCATAATATTACCCTGCACTCCATCACTGAAACCACACTAATTAAAATTTAATCTTCTTGATTTCATTTTAAATTCCATAGTGCTTCAGGGTCATCTCCTCTGTTGGCCTATTACCTATAATTCTTTGTTATTTTAGTGGTTTCTTTCATTATGAAAATCAGTCATCACCTCATTGTTACAGACTACAAAGATAAAAGATAAGGCCAATTTTTGCATTTACCCTAAGAGTTACTTGTAGGAAAATAAAGACAACCTATCACCCTTTCTCAGTTGTCTTTCATAAACCTATAGAAAAAATAAAAAATTCTACCACCTTCTTTCAGTGAAAGAGATCAGAGTAGGATTGCATCTTTGAAACGTATTTTTTCTTCGAATGGAAAATATTCTACTGCATTCACGGTAAAAACCTTAGAGTAGAAACAATGGACTTTCTGGTTTATGTCCTAAAGTAGGAAAAAGAAAGCAATCTACAATAACGGAAGGATTATATATTGAAAAAATTAACTCCTCAAATTATTCTAGCAGTTAAGTTTTAAATGTGTCAAGAAGCACATTTTCAAAATATGAATCTAACTGATAATCTAATGGATATGGTATATACAACAACTACAACTAAGGCAAATGCAGGACAAATTCAGTTTGAGCAAGGGCCAAGCAGACTGATTAATTGAAAAAACATTTCCACCAGACATCCCTGTAACTGAAACATTAAATACTACTAAGCATTCTGCTAAAATACTGGCTTCGCTTCTAAACTGTATAGATTTTAAATAAATACAAAAGTTGTCATAATATACTTCCATTCTTTCTTTTCATTCCCAAGTGGAATGTACTCTGAATCAGATCTTCAAAACCAGATGTCATGGAAGACTAATGATGTCCTACTTTATTTAATTAAATAATTTTAGATCAGAAAAGCACTCCAAGGGCAAAAATAATTAACATGTGTAAAAGAAAATGAGGACAAGCAAGTTCAGAGGGGATAAGTCTGCTTCATGCTGCATTTAAAAGAGTTGGAGATATGTGACTGACATCTATTTCTAGTCAAGACAAAATAACAAGGACTGCATTTACTTTCCTATCTGGAAAAATAACCAAAATGGATAAAATATATAAAACAATGGTTTGCAAGGCACAGCACATCAGCAAAGAAAGAGTGATCCCTGAAAGATCAAAAACAAAGGAGATAACTGCTCCAAATTACGGTCTTCGAGTTTCCAGCGGCACCTGGGTGGCTCAGTTGGTTAAGCATCTGACTCTTGATTTCGGCTCAGGGCATGACCTCAAGGTTCATGAAATGGAGCCCCACATTGGGCTCACTCTGACAGTACAGAGACTCCTTGGGATTCTCCCTGCCTCTCTCTGCCCCTTCCCTGTTCACACAGTCTCTGTTTCTCTCAAAATAAATACACTTTAATAAGTAAATAAATGAATAAAAAATAAAGGGGGGGAATGAATTTTCAGGCAAACACACAAAAAGATGAATGAATTCATCATGAGCAGACCTGCATTAAGAAGAGTTACAGGAAGCCCGTTAGAAGAAAAAGTAATGCTAGATGAAAATATGAATCTACACAAAGGAATGAAGAACACTGGAAATAATAACTGCCTGGGAAGATATAGGCTTTTTTAATTGTTTAAATCTCTTTAAAGGATTAAACAATAATTTTAAGAATACAGCATGTGGTTTATAACATACACATATAACTATAATAGCATAGTTTGGGAGGAGACACACAGAAGTACACTACTGTGGCTCTTAAACCATTTCTTGTGTTCTGTAATATCATTTGAAGATAGGCTAATAAAGATGTGTATTATAAGCCCTAAAGCAACCACTAAAGTAGAGAAATAAAGAATTACAGCTAATAAGCCAACAAAAGAGAAAATAAAATTGTAAAAAAAAAAATACAATTAATCTAAAACAGGGCAAAGGAAAAAGGGGGAGGATGGGGACACAAGAACAAATGGGACAAATAGAAAATAAACAGCAAGATGACAGACTTAACCTTAATCATATCTATCATTACATTAAATGTAAGTGGCCCAACCCACAAAAGATTATCATCACACTGGATACATAAGTCAGACCCATCTATATGCTGCCTACATGAAACACACTTTAAATATAAAGCTACAAAGAGGCACAATATTAATGGATAATGAAAGATAAAACATTGTAAACACTAATCAAGAGAAAGCAAAAGTAGCTATGTTAATATCAGACAAAGCAGACCACAGAACAAAGAACATGACCAAGGCATTTCATAAGAATAAAGGAACATATTCATTAAAAGCACATCCCAGGGGTGCCTGAGTGGCTCAGTTAGTTGAGCTTCCAAACCTTGATTTCAGCTCAGGTCATGATCCCAGGTCTATGGGATCAAGCTCCACATTGGACTCCATGCTGGTCATACAGGCTGCTTGGGATTCTCTCTTTCCCTCTGCCCCTCTCCCTCACTCATGCTCTCTCAAAAAATTAAATAAAAAATAAAACAAATAAAAGCATGTCCCAAAAGTCCTTCTGCCTCATAACAGAGCTTCAAGATACATGAAGCAAAAACTACAAATATAAAATTACAAGAACTCCACAATTATGACCAGAGATTTCAATACTCTCCTTGTAATAAGAAATGGAGCAAGTAGGCAGAAAATCAGAAAGATGAATACAATTTGAACACTAATAACTGCCTTGACCTAATTGACATTTATAGAACATTTAACCCAGTAAGAGCAAAAACTTCATGTGTTTCACATCCACACAAAACATTTACCAAGACAGACTATATTCTGGGCACCAAAACAAGTCTTGATAAATTTAAAAGAATTTAAACACATACAATATGTTCTCTGATTACAATGGAATTAGATTAAAATTCAATAACAGAACAATATATGGAAATTTCCCAAATATTTGGAAATTACATAACATCTTTTAAATAACCCATGGGGCAAAAAAGAAAGCAAAAGGGAAAATGGAAAATGTTCAAGTAAAAAAACCCCAACATAATCAAAATTTGTAGAATGGCACGACATTATAGCAGTGGTTAGGGAGCAAATTATAGCATTACACGTCTACATTAGAAAAAAAAAAAAAGTTCTAAAAAAAAAAAAAAACCCACCTCAGTTTCACCTTAAGAAACTCAACAAAACTAGGGGTGCCTGGGTGGCTCAGTTAGTTAAGCATCCAGTTACGGCTCAGGTCATGATTTCATGGTCTGTGGTTTCGAACCCCATGTCAAGGCTCTGTGCTGACAGCCCAGACCTGGACCTGCTTCAGATTCTGTGTCTCCTTGTCTCTCTCTGACCCACCTCTGTTTGTGCTCCACCCCACCCCCCTCAAAAATAGTAAATAAACAAACATTTAAAACAAGAAAAAGAAACTAAACAAAGACCAAATCAAACCCAAAGTATAAAAATCAGTAATAAAGCTCAGAGTACAAAGCAGAATTAACAGAAGACAGAAAAAGAATAGGTAAAATCAATGAAAACAAAACCTAATTTCTTTGGAGAGGAACAAATTTATAAACCTCTAGCCAGACTGGGAAAAAAATAAGATACAAATTTCGAGTATCAGAAATGAGAAAATTGACATTCTACAAAGGTCACCTATATT